TCCTTTAGTCCTTCATGGTTTTTATGACTCCCTCCCCCCAGTTCCCTGACCCTTTCCTATGGATGAGACTCTTCCTAGAGCTGAGTTTTTATTCTTGCCTTCTTGCCTCTATGAAAGCCCTGGTACCAGGCACCGAGAGTCACTTAGCTGGCTTAGCCAGGCTAACTAACCCTTGACTATAAGGAAAAGGGCCAACCAAAGAAACACACCCTGACCAAAGCCAAAGAAACACACTTTGGTCCTAGAATCAGAGCCAGTGAAAGAAATATGCACTGGCCCTGAAACGAGAGTCAAAAGGCTGAAAAGGGGCAGAGAAAGAAACACACTTTGGCTCTGAAACCAGAAACAAATCTGCCCCTAACCAACTAAACAGAAAACAAACCAATCCCTGTGCAGGGAAACAAACCAAAATCTTTTCCTTGGAAAAACTCTACCCTTAAGAAGCCATATATAAGCCCTGCACTTGTTCTGTTTGCTGCTGCCTTGTTCTACTCTGGCTGAAGCAGCCACTCTCCTGGATTCTTCCCTCCCAATAAATCTCTTAAATGAGGTTTGGGAAGACATTCCTTCACCGGATAGAGCACAGGAGAGAAGTAACAACTTTTTTGCTGGAGCGGAGCAGAGCCAGGCAGTAACACTTTCGCTGGGGAAACCTTCCCCTAGCCAAGCTGAGTTGATACACTCCTGAGGTGGGGTGTGCATGGGTAGGGGGACCTGAACGGAATTGAAACAGCTGGGGAAACCCTCTCCGCCCAGACAGAGCTGTTACATTGTTAAAATCTTTCCCTGGAGCAGAGCTGTAAGCTGCTATGCTTACTGTGACCTGTGGTATTTCTTGGCTCTGGATCACCAGAATATTTTTCCATCCAAGCTGCAGTGCTTACACTGACCCCTGTTAAGTGTGGTGACTACTCTCTGAACTTGTTTGGTCCTCCCCGAGTCCTGAGTCCTGGGGATGCCCACGATGACAGATGCAGTGACATTTTCCTTTTCTCTCATCCATGGGAATGTCTTCCATACCCTCTCATTTCCCCTTGGAATGCCTCTCCACCTGAGATCAACTTGAAGGCCCCTAAATTTATTTGCTTTTGCAATCAAATGTGGCTTGAATACTCCTTAGATAATCAATCCAAAGGATCAGCTAATGGCACCTTAGAGACTAATATTATTTGGGATCTTGACAAATACTGTGAGCGATCATGGAAATGGGAAGAGATTTCCCCATTCCCTATTTCTGGAGTCCAAGTCCTGTTTGTTTTGTTTAGTTTCCCCCCCATCCCTGCCTCTCCACTGTGCGAATTTCCTATCTTTTATCTTTTTGTTTATTTAATATTTGGTTTTCAAGACAGGGTTTCTCTGTGTAAAAGCCCTAGCTGTCCTGGAACTAGCTCTTGTAGACCAGGCTGGCTTAGAACTCACAGAGATCCTCTTACCTCTGCCTCCCAGAACTGGGATTAAAGGCGGCAAGCCTCACCACTGCCCAGCAAATGTCCTGTCTTTTAAGTTAGCATAGATGGATTTGTAAATTTGTTACAAAGCAGGAGCTAGGACCTAGCAGGAGGGAGAGAAAACAAAGGAGTAGGCCAGCTGTTAGGTGAATGCAACCGTGAAGCAGAGGCTGCTCGTCCCTTTTCCCCAGCCACCCAGACCTGAAATAATCACACAGAAACTGCATTAATTAAATCACTGCCTGGCCGATCACTTAAGCATATTGCTAGCTAGCTCTTATATCTTAAATTAGCCCATTTCTATTAATCTGTGTATAGCCACATGGTTGTGGTTTACTGGGCAAAGTTCTGGCATCTGTCTCCTCTGGTGGCTACATGGCATCTTTCTGACTCTGCCTACTTTCCACCAGCATTCAGTTTTGTTTTCCCCATCTAGCTCTGCCCTGCCATAGGCCCAAGAAGTTTCTTTATTCACTAACCAATAAAAGCAACACATATACAGCAGGACTTCCCACATCATCTCCCCTGTACTGTCTAAACAAAATAATCTATTCCTGAGAGAATGTTGAGCACTGAAGGTACTCCACTTGGAGCTTGTTTTCTTCTTGGCAAAACTGGCCTTTGGGCAAGGAACTGCTCATGACTCCACCACTGACAAAAATGTACGGTATCCAGAAAGGACAAGCAGGATATAAGAAAAAAAGATTGTCAAACCTTGCCATGATAGGGTAAGATGGTTTTTGAAATTTTCCTGCCTCTGAAAATGGTCTGTTAGTTACTCTAGGCCTTAGCCAAAGTTGGTTGCTCCAATGTTGCAAATAAGACCTTGGGTGATCGCCCAGATAGCCAGTTGTGTCTGTCATTTATTGCACATCTTGGAAGTTGCTTGACTGCACTTCCTGTTTTTCCCTTCTCAAGTCTTCAATGGGGTTACCACTGCCCGGCCAAATAACCCTTTATTATATTCAGTTCTGAGCTAGTGTGGGATTACCTTATAGCATCCATCTTCACACATTCTTTACTGTCTCTCCAGCTTTCTCCTGCGGCATCCTTTGTCTATACCCAGAACTCAAAATTTTCCTATCTCTAAGTCTTCTTTGTTCTCAGCTAACTGGATTTAGTTTTACAGGAGTTCTGGTTTCTTTTATGTATGAGTGGCATTAAACTGTTGTTTTATGCTGTCCAACTTAAATTAAAAGCTGGCTCTAGAGTTAGGTTATGGCTCTCCCTCCTCTAGACCCAAGCATGCTTGTTAAGGGTTTCTTCCAAAATTTCTGCCCCATATCAGGCAAGCCACCTGCTGTGTGACAGAGAAAGGAGAACAAAGCAAAATACAGGGACAGCCTATTCTCAACAGGGACCATTGCTACTCATCTCATACACCTTTGGTTTTGATTTAACTCTAAAAATTTTGATAAGGTATAAATCTTATCTTTTTAAAATATTTTTAAATACTTATTTATTTATTATGTATACTGTGTTCTGCCTGTACATCTGCCTGCAGGCCAGAAGGGGACACCAGATCTCATTACAGATGGTTGTGAGCCACCATGTGGTTGCTGGGAATTGAACTCAGGACCTTTGGAAGAGCAGGCAGAATTGAGGCTCTATACCCAATACTGGATTTTTTTTTTTCTGAGACAGGGTTTTTCTGTGTAACAGTCCTGGCTGCCCTGGAACTAGTTCTTGTAGACCAGGCTGGCCTAAAACTCCTGGAGAGCTGCCTGCCTCTGACTCCTGAGTGCTGGGATTATAGGTGTGCATCGCCACTGCCTGGCTATTATTATTATTATTTTCGAGACAGAGTTTCTCTGTGTAACAGTCCCGGCTATCCTGGAACTAAGTCTGTAGACCAGGCTGGCCTCAAACCCACAGAGATCGTCTTGTCTCTGCCTTGGGAGTGCTGGGATTAAAGGCATGGGTCATCACTATCCGGTCTGATTTATGTATTTATTTATTTTTAAGATTTATTTATTTATTATATATACAGTGTTCTGCCTGCACATCAGAAGAGGGCACCAGATCTCATTACAGATTGTTGGGAGCCACCATGTGGTTGCTGGGAATTGAACTCAGGACCTTTGGAATAGCAGTCAGTGCTCTTAACCTCTAAGTCATCTCTCCAGCCCCGGCCTGATTTATTTTTAAATTGTGGTGTGTGTGTGTGTGTGTGTGTGTGTGTGTGTGGTTTTGTTTGCTTTGAGGCAGTGTTTTTCTACATAGCGCTGGCTGTCCTAGAACTCATGAACTCATAGATATCCCCCTGCCTCTACCTCCTGAGTACTGAAATCAAAGGCATGCACCACCACATCCAACTTAAATGTATTTTTATTTTACTAGCATAGGTGTTTTGCTTGGTCTATGCACCACTACGAAGGCCTGGAGAGGGGACGGATCTCTGAAACTGGAGCTACAGAATATGGGTAACTGCCCTATGGGTACTGGAAATTGAACTCTTGTCCTCTTCCAGAGGCCCAGGTTCAATTCCTAGCACCCACATGGCAGCTTCTGACTCTCTGTTAGTGTAGTCTCAGGGTGTCCAATGCCTTCTTCTGGCTGCTTCTGGAACCAAGCACACAAACATACATGCAGTCAAAATACCCATTCATATACAGTGAATAAATAATTTAAAAAGCAAAACTGACTGCCATTTTTTGTTGTTTTTGTTTTGTTTTGAGACAGGGTTTCTCTGTAGCTTTGGGGCCTGTCCTGGAACTAGCTCTTGTAGACTGGGCTGGCCTCGAACTCACAGAGATCTGCCTGCCTCTGCCTCCAGAGTACTGGGATTAAAGGTGTGCACCACCACTGCCCAAGACTGACTGCCATATTTAGTCACTATACCAGAAGCTGGTGAAGGATTTTGTAATCAGTAAACGTCCAGCCTTCCTTCCATATATAACTCATTACAGTAAAATTTTTTCTTAATTAACTGTGAATCCAGCATATTCAGCTGGGAATGCATGCTCTTTCTAATTAAAGATGGTAGAGTTATTCTCTCTCTTTCTTTCACTTTTTTCCAAAAAAAAGGTTTCTTTCTTTGTGCAGCCCTGGCTGTCCTGTAACTCACTCTGTAGACCAGGCTGGCCTGGAACTCACAGAGATCCACCTGCCTCTGCCTGCAGAGTGTTGGGATTAAAGGCTCATACCACCACATCCGGCTTTAGGAGTGACTTTTAATTTTTTCCCTAGGTTCCCTATGTCAATGTCCTGAGGCCTTGAGTAATAAGAGTTTTGTTCTGAGGCTAAAATAATGCAGCTCAGCATAGCTACTGTCCTGGAACAGTGTGCATATGGAGACTAAGTCCGTGGCCTTGCTGGGAACACGGATCGCTCAGTGGTCGAATGCGTGCCCACCACTTCCAGAACTCTGGATTCAGCTTGAGAACCTCAAAAAATTATCAAATTAGTAAAAGTGAAGTTTATACTGTGTAGCAATTTGTAATAAACTTTTCTACATCCACATAATTTCAAAAATAAATTGAGGGGGACAAAAAACTTCAGGAGTTGCTGAGATGGCCCAGCAGGTAAAGCAGCTGCTGCCAAGCCTCACCACCTGCGTTTGAGCCCTGGAACCCACATTCCAGGGAGAAACACGGGAGGACAGAAACAGCTCCTGGACGTCGTCCTCTGACCTCCGCACGCATGCCATGGCATGCATAGAAACACACAAGATTTGTAAGATTTATTTATTTATTGTGTATACAATGTTCTGCCTGCATGTATGCCTATGTGCCAGATGATGGCACCAGATCTCCTTACACACGGTTGTGAGTCACCATGTGGTTGCTGGGAATTGAACTCAGGATCTCTGAAGAGCAGCCAGTGCTCTTAACCTGAGCCATCTCTTCAGCCCCCCAAAATTTTTAAAAGTTTAAAAAATTAAAAAAATGTAAATAACAAATACATTTTGAAGTTGGGTATGGTGACATATGTACTCAGAAGGTTGAGGCAGGAGGATTATCACAAATTCAAAGCTCTGGTGAACTTTGTGGAAAGTAGTACTCGGGAGGCCAAGGCAGGAATATCTCTGGATTTCAAGTCCATGGGGTCTACATAGGGAGTTTTAGCCCAGCAAGGGCTACACAGTGAGACCCTGTCTCAAACAAACACAAACTGAAAGTACATATATATATCTTTAAAAAATAGTCATATACTTGATCTTAGTCGAAAGACTGAGACGTGATAAAAACATAGGTATATGTATATAGGAATTAAACAGGATCATGAAAACTGAAAATACAATGCTTCTAATTTGCCTTTAATGTTATTACAGTGGATAAACAATTACACAAATGTGAGGGGAGTCACTGATACAAATTATTAATAACTAACAAAAACACTCACTTTTGTAGACTGAAGCTTGGGCCTTCTGTCTCCTCCAGCTCATGCTGATCCTTAATCCTCAGTTTCCCCAGACACAGTTGACTCTGAGCAGGCTCATCCTTAGTAACAAAATAGAAGGTAGGAGAACTCAACTCCTACCCTACAGAAGCTTATTCTCAGAATATATATGGAAGCCACCCAGAGTCACAGAGCACTTTTGAGAATGTGTTGCTTGCATTGGCAAACCCCAGCAAACAGCCTGAACCTGGCCTGCCACTTGCCGTGGAAGGCCTATGAGCTATGGACAGTTGACATTTTTAAACTTTTTATTTTATGTGTATGAGTTTTTTGCTTGCACGTGTGTGTGTGCAAGCGTGTGTGCATGCCTGCTGCTGGCAGAGGTCAGAAGTAGACTTTGGATCCCCTGGAAATGGAGTTACAGATGGTTGTGAGCTGCCATGTGAGCACTGGGACTAAAACTGTGGTCCTCTGGAGGTAGCCAGTAGCCTTTAACTACTGAACCGTCTTTCTCTCTTGCCCCTTCTTTGTTGGTTTTTACGTTTGTTTTATTTTCTTTTAGAGATGCGGTCTCAGTATATAATCTGGGTTGACCTGGAATTTTCTGTGTAGCTCAGGCTGCCCCTCTGCTTCCAGAATGCTGGATTAGAATTGTAGAACACCATGGAAGAACCTTAAATAGCCCTGTTTTAACTGACTATATATAAGTACCTATGTAATGTATGCGATTTTACCCCCTCAAGCCCATTAAGTTTAAATCGTTTACACCTGAATAATTGCTACCCCTTCCTAGACCCCGGGGAACACAGTGACCACTTAGTCAGGAACTAAACAAACTCTCAGCCCCGAGGCCAATTGCCCGGGCTTCGGCTCTGACTTGGTTGTGCCCTGGTGCCAGGTGGCTGCAGGCCCCACACCCCTCCTGGGAGTGGGTTGGGCTCTCCAAATGTGGCTGGAATGTTCCAGAGCTGTTTCTAGTGGGTGGGACTCCCATCAAAGAGCTTCTGAATTCTGGGTGGTACCGTGACGTCGGGGGCAACCCCACCGCTCACGAAGGCAGAAATGCCAAACCAGGGCAGCACAGCTCAACAGAGCCAAAGCTGTGCCCACTCCCGCAGCTGCGTGGACCAGGGTGACAGGTCTAGGCGGCATGATAAGCTTTCGACAAGGCCCAAAAGAAGGCTCAGCCCAGTCCTCAGGACCCTCAGCATCTGCTCCAGGAACACGGCTCTTGCCAGCGTCGTTAGCAGCCACCACACAAAGATCATAAGAACTGCCAGGTTTGAGTCCCTTCAGCTCCGCTCTTCGAACGGTCGCATTGAAGGGGCCACTCTTGTGTGGAGCGCCGTTGCCTTCCCAAAGCAGAAGCCAGTAGTGATTGACTGGAGAGAAGGGAGCGCACCAGTGGACAACAGCGCAGCCTTCCTCCGCCAAGATCTGCACTTCTCCCAGCCGCGGAGGGTCTGGCTGCTGATCCTCGCTGGTGAGCCCTGGGCACAGACAGGCTACTGGCCCAACCTTCTGCAGCTCCTTGCAGGACACCTGCAGGTGGCGGCAACGGTCATAGTCGCATCGGACAGCCCCAGAAGGTGTGGTTAAGGCCTCATAGTCCTCTTCCTCGTAGTCTTGGGGAGTCAAGATCTGAGCTTTAGAAACCAAGGAGGTGGTCATGGCCACAAGCCACAGAAGGGAAAGAGAGCCCACCATGGAGTCTGGAAGGGAAGGGTGAGAGGGTAAATACTGTCAGCCCTGCCTTCCAGGACAAGACCTCTGGGAAAAGCACAGCACAGAACCGAACCAACATGGGCAAAGGAAAGAGGTGGGACTGAGACATGCAATTATTTGTCTATTAGCTTCTGCATGCAGTTTTTTTGGGGGGAGTGGGGGTGGGAGCCTGGTCTGAGGCTGGTCTTTAACTCTTGGTCCTCCTGTCTACACTTCCAAATCACTAGGATTAATGTCGCTAGGCCTGATCGTGCTAGGTTTGGGATAAAAATAATAAAATACAGTTCCACACATGAGAGACAGATGTTTGGGCAGCACCAGGCAAAGTGCTAGAAGCAAGCAGCTAGTGGATAAACAAAAGTGCTGCGGAAAGAGAAGGAGGAAAGGGATTTATTCGGCTCAGGGAAGAAAGGTGGAAGGAATCGGCATCCACTCAGCAAACTGACCTATGTAAACAGCGCTCAGTAAGATGCACAAATCCAGAAAAGCCCAGGAGAGAAGAAAGAGCAGGGGTGGGGACAGGCATGGGAGTAACTCCCTACCTGCATTTGTGCAAATGTTGTCCAAGCAATCCAGGCTCCTCCCTGTCCACCCTCTTCCCAGGACCCGCAGCAGCCTCTCACCAGCAGGTAGGCCTTGACACAGGGAGAATCTGCCTCCAGACATCTGTGGACATCAGGCGGAGAGGTCCCTGTCACAGGCCACGGTCAGGTTGCATCTTCGATTCTGTTTTGGCTGAGAACTTTTATACCCCTCAACTCTGATGTCACCACCTAGCCCCTGAGTGCCAAGAAGAGGGCTGGTTCCCTCAGAGGGACTGAGTCACGGGGCCAAGAATAGGGGACGCTACAGGCAGTGGTTTCAGTTGGAGGCCAGGATGCCTGGGTTCTGAGAGGAACGAAATGTGGACAGCAGCCAGGAGCGGAGGCTCCAAAGGCTGCAGTCATGTGAAGGGGTGGGGAGAGGAGAATTATCAGGGGAGGGAGGGCACCTGGCTGGTATCAGATAGGAAAACATCTGTGGATGGTTTACAAAATGCTGTTTCAGTGAAAAGTCCTACCACATTCATGGCAGTCATTTCCTGTCTTCTGCCTCCCAATGGACAGGGAAGGGAGGGGTATGAAGGCCAGAATGATGTAGACTAGCTCTCCAGACCCGCCCTATCCTATCCCCCTCTCCGAGCTGAGAATCACATGGCTACAGCAGGAAGCCTACTACTGGCCAGGATAGGGTTTCTCCCCTTGATTGCGGATGGAAACAGCTGCATTGAGTGTGGAGGTGCTTGTCTGAATTTCTCAGCCCAAGGGACACCGAGGCAGAATCTTTAGAAAACAGCTGTGCTACATAGTGAGATCGACATCATGAAACATCTGGATCGGTGCTGCAAGCTTGCGATTCAGTACTTGGGATGCTACGGCACGAGAGTTGCTAAAAGTTTGAGGCCAGCCTCTAAGGATCTGTTTCAAAATATATAAAAAAGAAAACAGTCTGGGTGGTAGTGGTGCACGCTTTTAAATACTTATTTATTATGTATACAATATTCTGTCTGTGTACATGTCTGCAAGCCAGAAGAGGGCACCAGACATCATTACAGATGGTTGTGAGCCACCATGTGGTTTCCGGGAATTGAACTCAGGACCTTTGGAAGAGCAGGCAATGCTCTTAACCACTGAGCCATCTCTCCAGCCCCCAGGTGCATGCTTTTAATTCCAGGACTTGGAAGGCAGAGACAGGCTCTTTGAGTTCAAAGACAGCCTGGTCTACAGAGCTAGTTCCGGGACAGCTAAGGTTACACAGAGAAACCCTGTTTTGAAAAGCAAAACAACAAAAAATCAAACAGACAAAAAGGGAGAGAGAAAGAAAACAAAGTAATTGTCTAGGTCATCCTTGAACGTCTGGGCTCAAATAACATTTCTGTCTCAGTTGAATAGTTGGGATATAGATGCTGATCAACTCCTTAGTATAAAGAAAATTTTTGCATATAATTGGGGACATTAGATCATAATCTCCTTGGAGTGTGTAATACCCTTGTACTACTATCCTTTTTAAGAAAGCAATACAGAGGCTAGAGAGATGGCTCAGTGGTTAAGAGTACTGGCTGCTCTTCTAGGAAGACCTAGGTTCAGTTCCTAGCACCTACATGATGACTGTGCTGGCTGATCTTATGACAATTTGATACACAAGCTAGAGCTATCTGAAAGGAGGGAACCTCAACTGAGAAAATACACCAGTAAGATCCGACTGTAAGGGATTTTCTTAATTAGTGATTGCTGGGGGAGGGCCCAGTCCATTGTGGTCATCCCCAGGCTGGTGGTCCCGGCTTCTATACGAAATCAGACTGAACAAGCTATGTGGAGAAGGTCAGTAAACAACTCCTTTCCTGGCATCAGCTCCTGCCCTGTTGGAGTTCCTATCCTAACTTCCTTTAATCAATAGCAATATGGAAGTGTAAGCTAAATAAACCTCCCCAACTTGCTTTTTGGTCATGGTGTTTTATCACAGCAATAGCAATCCTAACTAGTGGTGGCTCACAGCCATGTAACTCCAGCTACAGGGGGATTCAGTGTCCTCTTCCAGCCTCCATGGGAACCTGAACTCACATGTACATACCCATGCACAGAATTAAAAATACTTTAAAAGGTGCTGATGGCACACACCTTTAATCCCAGCACTTGGAAGGCAGAGGCAGGCAGATCTTTGTGAGTTTGAGACCAGCCTGGCCTACAAGAGCTAGGCTCCAGGATAGGCTCCAAAGCTACAGAGAAACCCTGTCTCGAAAAACCAAAAAATTTAAAAAGGGAACATGCTAGGAGCTGAAGAGATGTCTCAGAAGTTAAGAATGTTTACTGCTCTCAGAGAGACTGAAATTCAGTCCCCAGCCCTCATGTGAGGCTCACAGCCATCTGCAATTCCAGCCCCTGGGGACCTCACAACCTTTTCTGATCTTTGAGAGAAATAGTAACATACATGTCCATACACACAGAGAAGCACACCCATACACAGAAACAAGAAGGCTGTGTGGTGGTGGCACATGCCCTTAATCACAGCACCCGAGAGGCAGAGGCAGATGGATCTCTGTAAGTTTGAGGCCAGCCTGACTTACAGAGTGAGTTCCAGGACAGCCAGGACTACACAGAGAGATCCTGTCTTGAAGAACCAAAAGTAATCAAAAATTGATGCCCAGGGCTGGAATGATGGCTCAATGGTTAAGAGAGCATCCTGCTCTTGCAGAAGACCTGGGTTTGGTTCCCAGAATCAAATATGGTAGTTCACAACTGCCCATAACTCCAGTAACTCCAGGTACAGGAAATCTGACATCTTCTCTGACTCATGGGCTCCTGCATGCATGTGGTGCACATATAGTTATGTAGATTCATTCACATACATATACACATAGCAAAATCTTCGATGATGCAAGTTTGATTCCCAGGACCCATATGGTGGAAGGAAAGAGCCGATCCCTAAAATATGTCCTCTGACCTTCACACAAGCACCTGACACAAAATAGTTTATTAAGGGGACAGCAAGGGGAGAAGGGTCAGACGGGGAAGCGCTGGAATGTGAGGAGTCTTTTTGTTCAGGAACTGGAGCATGTTGGACGCTGCCTGATGGTGCCCACAGAAGGTTCACGGCTACCCAGAGTCTCAGGGGAAAGGGCAGAGGTGGAGGTAGAGGCAGAGGTAGGCAGGTTGGCGTCCGTCAGCAAAGCTGCATCTTCCCAGGAGCCTGAACCTCAGGCAGGAAAGGGCCAAACAAAATTGCAAATGAGACAGACAGGTTAGCAGGGACGGAGGGGCGTCCCCACCACACTGCACTCACCATCACTAGCCTCTGGCTCTTGCTCCTCCTCTCCATTCAGGGGCTGTCGTCGTGGTTTCTCTTCCTCAGACAGCTGGCCCTCTTCAGCCAAAAGGGGAACAGAGGTGTGCTAGAGGTGAGACCCAGACACTGAAGGGGAGTGCTGTGGAGGAGCGAGGAAGAGGGACAGCATCATACCTGTTCCTGCGGGATCTTCAGGGCTCTCACCATCCTCTGTCATGTCTGACCGCTGGGTAGGCTCCTCCCGGCCTGCAGGTTCGGCAAACAGAGGACAGCTAGACTCAGCGGTGATGCTTGGTTTGCAGTGCCAACCCCACCTCCTTCAGCCTTTCCTTACACCTTCAGTTAGTTACTCAGTACTGGAGGCAGGCAGTCCCTCTACCCCAGCCAAAATACCTCTCAACGATATCGTCAACCAACCCCTTTACCTGGCTGATGGCGAGAAATGCGACGCTGGGCACCCTGTCGTGAGCTATCCCCTTGTCGGATATTAACCTGTGGAGGAGTAACCACCTAGCGGTGAAGCCTGGCTCCCCTCGCAGTGATCCTGCCCTATCCCTAACACGCCCTGATCACCAACAAGGACTGAGGAAGAACAGGGTCTTCGCCCCTTGAGACCTGCAAAGAGAAGCGGTGTCGGGGCCAGACACCCCCCCACACCCACTGCATGTAGCTGAAGAGCGCGATGATGCTGAGGAACGTGAAGTTGCTGGCGACACCCACAAAGGCGCAGGTCACAGGGAAGTTGTACAGCAGGTACCTAGGTGGGAAACGGCCAGGAAGGAAGAAGCAGTTACCAGATAGCTCGAGTGGCTCACACTCCACAAATACTTGTAGGACAACTTGAGTGAGTGTGGCTGGAGCTGCCCTCTGCCACTACGGCACCCACTCCCCGTCCAGTTACCCGATGACACCCCACCAGGTTCTAATAAAGGCTAAGGACTTCAGGCAGTCGCAGTATCACAGGGCCACAGCATCATCCACTCCCACTCTTGCTGAGCCGTCGGAACAAGGCAGCTGGATTATGTGGGTATTGTTATTAGGGTGGGGCGGGTGGCTCTCATTATGTTGCCTGAGTAGCAGGGACTAGACACAGAACACTACACCTGGCTCCTAGGATCGAGCCTCTTATTTGCTTTTCATTATTTATGTTGAGAGTCTTGCTTTGTAGCCCAAGATTTCTTGCCTTAGGCCTCCCAGTGTTGAAATGTCAAGGTGTGTCATCTCATATGGGATTTTAAAAATGGGACTGGAGGGTTGGCTCAGTGGTTAAGAGGACTTCCTGTTCTTAGAAAGGACTCAGGTTCAATTCCTAGTACCCACATGGGGGTTCCCACCTCCTTCAACACCAGACACACATGTGGTACACATACAGGCATGCAGGCGAAACACTATTACATACAAAACAATAAAATTAAAAAATTTTTTTTTTCTTTTCAAGACCAGATTTCTCTGTGTAGCCCTGGCCATTCCAACTCACTTTGTAGACCAGGCTGGCTTTGAACTCACAGAGATTCACCTGCTTCTGCCTTCCAAGTGCTGGGATTAATGTATATTGAGCATTTGCCTGACTTATTCTGCATGCACCACATGGATGCCTGGTGTCCCCCTAAGATACCCTGGAGTTGGAGTTACAGATGGTGGTGAACTTGTGAGTGCTGGGGACTGAACACAGCTCTTCAAGAGCAGCCAGTGCTCTTAGCCCCCGAGCCATCTCTCCAGTCCCTCACATGGGATTACATTTTTTTCTTCTCTCTTTTTTTTTGAGGGGGGAGAGACAGGGAAGAAGCTCTTTTGAAAGCCTAGTTAAACTAGGGAGGAGCTTCTGGCCTTTGTAAAATATGATGTGATGTTGTTACTAGTCAGCACTGCCTGACACCCTCTTCATTTCAGGGCAGGTCATGGGAAAGCTGCCAAGGTTTCCCTCTGCGGCTTCTTACCTGAGCCCAGTGAAGTGGGCATGGATGCGGAGGTATGCTGCATACATCTGGATGCGCTTGCTATGAATCTCAATAACTGCTCCAGTTGTGGGCATATACTGCGAGGGAGGGAGAGCAGAGTCAGCAGGGCCCAGTCTGAGGCCGCTTCCAGCCTCTGTGGCCATTGCAGGTGGCTGCCAGTGGGCTTCTTAGGTACAGTCTTGGGCCAGCGGGAGGGTTGTCTCCTACTCCATCTCTCCGCTCCACTTACCGAATTCTCCCTGTAGTCCGAGTAGAGTTCTACCTCCAGGAGCTGCTTCTGCTCAGCAAAGCCAAACAGCAGGAGGCTGGAGAACACCAGTGTGTCAAGTATCTGGAGCAGCTGGGAGCGGTAGTGCAGCATCACCTGACAGGGCCGTACGGGAAGGTGGGGACAGGTGTTCTCTCTGGTCTGCCCCATGCTCGAGCAGTCCATGTATGCAAAGAAGCGCATTCTGTTCCTTCCCCTTCCCTTCCTAACCCCCAGTGTCCACCCCACCATTCCGTTTGTTTCAGTAACGTCCCCTGGTACCCGACCTCATTTCTCCATTCTAATGCGGCAAAGTTCCCTTCTCTAAAACACCTGCTCAGGTAAGCAGTCTGCTCTCATGTACCTTTCCCGCCATAGTCTGTTATCTGACTTGGGATCCATGTCCCAACGCACCACCTAAAGCTGTCCTCAAATGCAGATAATCATCGTGTGGTTTAAATGAGGTCCAGCGCTGAACGTGTCTGCTACGTGCTAACAAGAACCCTGCATTTCTTGCTGGTCTGGTCAGGAGGAAGTTACTATAAAGCTGGTATGTTTCTGTTCTTCTTGTTCTGAGAGCAGCGGTACTCTTAGACTACTCCGAAGCTGGGCATGCCCATCAGACACTAGGTGTTTGGGCAAATGTTTGGTTTATTAATTGGATTCTTCACTTATCCTGGTTGGGGCCTGATCTCAGAGCCAAGGCGGTCTTCTCTTGAAGTATCAGCCATATATACTGATTCAGCCACCATTGTCCCCAGTTTCCCAGACTGTCTTCAAACACTTACTGAGCGTGAAGAAGTAGAGACGATTCGGCCACCTCTGGTATAGCATGAAACAGTGACTAAGAACATGCCCAAGTCTTGATTCACGGGGGACTCTGGCATTTCAAGCTCTAAGGTGACTCGATATGGCTGTCCATACATCAGCACCTGCCCAAAGGAACAACACCATTTTGTTAAAAAAAAAAAGTTTGTGCTGTTTTGAAACAGGGTCTCACTATGTAGCTCTGATTGGCTTGGAAGCACTCTGTAGACCAGGCTGGCCTCAAAATCAGAGTGTCGACTGCCTTTGCCTTACCAGTGCTGGGATTAACACGTGCATCACCATGCCTGGCCTGGCTTGTTTTAATCTTTTTTTTTTTAAGTACATCCTGACTCAATGCTGCCCCCTCCTGGTCATTGAGCACCCTGACTTTCCAGATTTTCTATCTTGTTTGTTGACTTGGTTTTATTTGGAGGTGGGGATTGTCAGGTAGGGAACCCAGCATTTAAGACAGGGTCTTGCTATGTATCTCTGGGTGGCCTAGCACTCACTATAGTCTCAAATTCATGGAACTTCTCCTGCCTCGGCCTCTGGTGCTGACATTTTGGGCCCGAACCACCACACTCACCCGGTCAGCTCCTGGGTCTGAGTCAGACTACTACACTGTTCCGAAAAGAACCCTGTTGCTGCCGGGCGGTGGTGGCGCACGCCTTTAATCCCAGCACTCGGGAGGCAGAGGCAGGTGGATCTCTGTGAGTTCGAGGCCAGCCTGGTCTACAAGAGCTAGTTCCAGGACAGGAACCAAAAGCTACGGAGAAACCCTGTCTTGAAAATCCAAAAAACAAAACAAAACAAAAAAGAACCCTGTTGCTTTTCTTTCCCAAAAGTGAACAGACACACTGCCAACTGGGCCATCTGTGATTCAAGCCTGTGTGATGCTGGAGCTGGCCCCCTGGGCCCAGCCTGCCCGCACTTAGTAATTAAGCAAGTTCTGCTCGGCCTCCTAGCCAGCTCTTGCACAATCACTGTAGCGGCAGATCGTCTTGTTATCCAGAGTTAATTCAGTTTTAAAAAATTAGTCTATTTTGTGTGTGTGTGTACAACACTGAGCTTATTAAAAATTATACAACTGCCTGGCACAGCAGCACATGTTTTTACCCCAGAACTCCGGAGGCAGAGGCAGGAGGATCTCCATGATACTCAAGGCCAGCCTGGTCTACATAACAAGTTCTAGGCCAGCCAAAGGCTAAATAATGAAACTATCTCAAAGTAAATAAATAAAGTGATAGAACTGCAGACTGTGAGAGTAAACTATATATTATATAAATTCTATCTCAATAAACCTATTAAGAAAAGCTGGGCGGTGGTGGCGCACGCCTTTACTCCCAGCACATGGGAGGCAGAGTCAGGCAGATCTTTGCGAGTTCGAGGCAAGCCTGGTCTACAAGAGCTAATTCCAGGACAAGTTCCAAAACTACAGAAATCCCGTCTCAAAAAACCAGAACAAAAGAAACCTACTAAAAAACAAAACAAAACAAAAACCTAGAAAAGTGGTGATTGAAAATCCTATCTCCAGGCCTTGCGTTGTACTTATTTAGAATCCCAGCACGTGGGAGGCAGAGGCAGCTTTTAGATCACCCACTTCCAGGCTGGATTGGTACTGTATGCCTATAACTGCAGCACACAGGAAGCTGAGACAAGATGATCACAACTTCAAGGCTAACCATTTTTTTGTTTGTTTTTCGTGTCATCCAGGCTAACCTTCTTGCCTCTACCTCTCAAGTGTGGGCTCCTTTCTTTTTATGTGACAGGCTATCAATATGTGCTGGCCTGGAACTAACTTGCCCAGGATACACTTAAAATCCTAAACACAAAACATCCTCAGTCAGGCATTGGTGGTGCACACCTTTAATCTCAGCGCTCAGGAGGCAGAGGCAGGTGGATCTCTGAGCTTGAGGCCAGCCTGGTCTCCAGAATGAGTTCCAGGACAGCCAGAGCTACACAGAGAAACCCTGTCTGGAAAAACAAACGCCTCCTACATCACCTTAAACAGCTGTGATTACAGATGTGCACCACTGTGCAAGGGCCGACGCCCCAGCATAAAGTCAGTTTCTTCTTAAATTCAAAAAGTTCAAAAAGTAACTGTCAAGTTAAGATTGACAACTAAAGGAACTCATGTAATCAAACTAACACTGATCCTCCAGGTCTTTAAAGCTTGGGATCCTATCCTTCATCAGAGCATCTGCAGCCTGCCAAATAGAGAAGGCTGTGTCTATGCACACTTGTCACAGTTCCCAGGTTTGTTGAAGGCACATTGGCATCTGGCCAGTCCTCTGGCATAGTACCCTTTGTGATAACAGGTAACACATAGTTGTTAATAATTTCATAATTTTATATAACAGGTTCTCGTTTGGTTTTGTTTTCTGAGACAGGGCTACTCTGTGTAGTCCTGGCTATCCTGGAACTCACAGTGTAGATTAGGTTGGCCTCAAATTCACAGAGATCCTCCTACCTCTGCTTCCTGAGTGCTGGGATTAAAGGTATGCACCAACCACCACAATGCTCAGTTTTTAGTTAATTAATTCATATTATTATTTTGTTTTTATTTTTCAAGACAGGGTTTTTTTGTGTAACCTTGCAGCTCAAAAAAGAAAAACAAAACAACAACAATAACAAACAGGGTCCCACTATGTAGCCCTGACTGGCATGGAACTCAGTGTAATCAGGCTGGCCTCTGCTTCAGAAGTGCTGGAATTATTAAAGTCAGAGACACCATACTAGCTTCACATCCTTGAGTGGATGCCATGCTGTTCCAGCTAGCTTGCCTGTTCACTTGGGCCAGGAATACATGGAGGAGCTATGGCTCACAAGGTAAGTTCAAGATGGGATCGTTCCTGACGCCTGCTGCACACACATCATTTGGACTCTAATTTTATATCGGAGATTGAATCTAGAGCCTCATACATAGGAGGCAAGTACTCCATCAAGGGGGATTTACCCCTAACCCTCCTTTTTCTCTTTTGGGAGGATATCGGGTCTGGCTATGCGGCCCAAGCTGGTCTCAGTTTTGGAATTCATCGTCTTACCTTTTCCTCCTAGTGCTGAAATTACAAGTATGTGTCACAGTGACTAGAGCCAACATCTAGATTTTCTTTTCAGCCTCCGTTTGCTTCAGAACCTTTCTCTTAAATCTCTGTTGCTCAGTCCTGCTCTCCACATCTTTCTCAGGCCATCAGAGATTTCCTGGTTCTTCTAGCTCTCATACTCACCCGATCGCGTCCACTCTTAGCCAGCGAGACATTGGCAACAGGGAAGGAGCAGAGTGAGGCGGTGGAGGAATCACAGTCTGTCCTAGATGAGAAGGGACGAATGACAGTCATGCTGTTCCATAGCCTGCTTGCCCCCATACCTGGTCTCTAGGGCTCCCTCCTGTCCATTACAGAGAAGTGGACAACAACCGTGGCCAGGAGATTCAAGATACCAAAATAAGGCTTTCATTCTCTTCCCACTACTTCAGTTTATGTCCCTATTAGAAGAGAACCTCTAGGTAGGAACCAAAGGACACTCAGGTGTTCTTACAGGATCCCTTAAAGAGCTTGGGGCATGTGGATCTCAGGGTCCCACCCCTACAGATTCTGATTCAAGCAGTTCCGATCTGGGGTCTAATTAGAAAAAAAAAGAAAACATTCCTCCAAAAGTATCTATGGATATATCTTAAGAAAAATTATAGGCAAAATTGCACATGGTACATGGGTGCACAGCTCATACCTGGGATCTCCTGTCTGTATAAGAATCACATTCCCTAAATGGCTAAGAAGATCTACCTTGAAAATGACAGCATATGACTAGGGGTCAGGGAGAGGGAAGAAAGATTTAAAGTTGATGGTATTAAACTGTGTCTGCTGATTGCCTGGTCTTACAGCATTGTTGGGACAGACAGAACTGGGCGGCATGAGTGAAATGGGAATGAATGAGGACTCAGTTATCTGGGTTACTGTGCAGATGCAGACCATTGCGGGTAAGTGGCAGTAAACTAAAAGGCAAAGGAGGAATTTCCTAATGTCGCCTATGCCAAAAGCCAGGGTAATTCTTAGATGCATAAGGGGTTGAGTTGGCTCAAAACTCTACAGTGGCTTAAAAGGTTTTATGCAACCTAAACAGAGCGGACTTTAGTTACCTGAATCTAAAAGTGAATTTTATTTTCTTTTTCTAGTTTTTTTTTTTTTAACTCCTTTGAAACAAGGTCTCAACCTGTAGCCCAGGCTGGCCTAGAACTCAGGGTAATTCTCCCAATTCAGCCTCCCAAGTGCTGGAATTACAGATGTGACCAGGCTATTTTTCTAGGTTTTTCATCAGAATTCAGCAGCGCAGGCAGACCTGGAACCCTAGAGCCCTAGTGGCCCAGAGCTGCTCCAGCCTTGGCCTGTGAGCTGAGAAGTCTTGTTAACACACTGGGATGAGAGTTCATGCTCTGTCAATAATGGATTCGACAGGACGCACCAGGAGTCCTTGGGGTCATTTCAATGTAAGATTCTTCTGCTTTAGCCGGGCGGCGCACACCTTTAATCCCAGCACTCGGGAGGCAGAGGCAGTCGGATCTCTGTGAGTTCGAAGCCAGCTTGGTCTACAGAGCGAGTTCCAGGACAACCAGGGAAACACAGAGAAACCCTGTCTCAGAAAAGATTCTTCTACTTTAGCGGAACAGTCTCCTCACCTGTAGTGGAAATGCACAGGACTCAGGTGGCTGACAGTCGGCATGTAGGAGTAGTAGAAAGAGCCATAGAGGAACACAGACACCCAAAGCAAGAGGAGGATGGTGCAGAAGAGCACCCCAAACTGCAGCAACAGCCTGCGGGCACGGCCTGCCAAGACATGGCCTACTTCCTGGGCCCACAGTAAGGCAGGTACTGGTGGGTCATTGACCATGATGGGGACAGCAGAGGATCTGCCCCCAGCTTCAGGCTTTGAGCTCCTGGCTGGTCTTCCACAGGGACGATACCCTTGGCCATGGGATAGGGCAGCTGGAGGTTCCTGGTGAAAGAAGAGGGAAAAAATTAGTTCCCCCCCCCTCAGGGAGCTGGGAACAAAAAAATCAAGCTTATTAAACTGGCTTTGAGGAAGTGGAGATAGCGTGATAAAGCAAAGTCATTGTTTCGCATGCACTTCTCTTCCAGTCACTCCTTCACTGAGTTTCCTTCCAGCGCTGCCAGTGGAGCCTTTCCTTCGGTCACCGGAGCCGGGGAGGGGGGGGGACCTCCTTGATACCTTCACACCGTTGTTCCATACATAGGACCAGGCCCTGAAACCTCTCTCAAAGCACAGATGACATGGATCCACAATGCGCAAGGAGAGGATGAGTGATTTGCCTAAAGTCGCACAACCTCCCGAGTTTCTCCCCTCCTCCCGGACCTGTGACCGCTCACCAAGCGACCACACAGCCCTGTGGCCCACCTGCGGAGTGACGCTGAGGCGCCCACCCCTGCGGTGACGCGGTTGACACCAGCCTGTCACCGCAGCCTCCCGCTGCCCAAGCAACCTAGAGAAGGGAGTTCCGGCTGCCGAGAGAGCCCGGCCCCTTCGGGCAGTCGCCAGTTAAGCGCAGGGGAAGAGCTCGTGCAGGGGCGGGGCCCTAGCGCAGGGGGCAGGGCCAGTGAGATGCCTTGCTCCTGTTTTGTGCTTCGCACTGTCCCTGCCAGAGGATCATTATAGGCCAGTTCAGCAATGCACTTCCCCATCTAGATCCCACTATAATCCCGGAGGCAGGCTGAGACTCAGCAGCATCCCTTTGGTTCTCCCGGCGAGGCCGCAATCAAGGCCCTCTTCCTAAACCTTTACCACCAGCCTTTTCACCCCAAAAGACAGGATCTGGGTGCAGGCGGGGTGAATGGAGTGGTGGTGAAAAGGGTGCTATTTTTATTCAGCAGAGCTGTTTGAGCCTGGAGGCGCCCAAGGGGAGTGTGTGTGTGTGTGTGTGTGTGTGTGTGTGTGTGGTGGGGGGCTCATTTGCCCCGAGAACCTTGCACCCTGCCAGAACCCGAATCTTGTGAGTTGCGCAGATGGCTTGCTGTCCGCTAGTCAAGCGTAGCAGCATTTTCAGCCCCTTTCTCCAGTTTTTATGCTGCGTGATCGACCTTCAGTGACCCACGTGATGCAGTCAACCTCAGAATCCCTACAAAACATGAGACTAGGTCTCTGAAGGTGGCATCTTCTGGACAATGTCCTCCAGGAGGCAAGGCCAGAGCACATCTTTTTGAATAGTAACAATCTACTCCAATTACCTGGAAAATTCGAATCAAGTTGCTGTCTCCCCAACTCCGCCACTTGCCACCGCTTCTTCCCACTCCAAGAAGCCCACCTGTGTTCATAATAGTCACACTGGTTCCGGTATCTCCCTTACCTCCTCTTTATCTGATCCTTTTTTGATCTGGTCTCTGCATGTCTCTTTTCCCCCAGCTTCTCTTCTTTGCTGTATCATATCTTTAGATATCTTCCTGGTGGTTACCTCTGCTGCCCTGGATCGCCCCACTCAAGTCACTTGTGCTACAATGTGGTGACCTAGAAGATTATCACTTGTAGAGCGTCACATTTTCCTGGATCTGCAGAATGGAGGGCCACTGGGAAAGAAACGAAGATTCAGGTGCTGAGTGCTGTGTCAGGGTTGTGGGGGGAGCAGTCCAGCTGATGTCAGACTTTCAAATGAGCAGGGTCTCCCGCAGCGGGTACAGACTCTATTGCAGGGGCTGTTACAGGCCCAGACCACCCCATTTAAGAGGGGAGCCTGCTTCCGCTTCAGGTCCATGGGGGGGGGGGGCTCTAGTTCAGACTAAAGACTTCTCCAATGGGCAGGGGCAGGTAGTGAGACAGTAACAGTGGGGGTGTGTACAGGGGATGCAAGCAGCAGTCAGATCCCCCCACTGGCCAGACAGTTGGTACGCTCCAGAATCTGAGCAGCTCCTTCTAGCATCCTTCATCCTTCAGGTACCAGCCATCTGGACAGTGCTTGAGCTGCAGAACCTGAGACCACCCTTCCAAGGACCTCCAGTCTGAGCATCTCTAGTGACCTTCTCTGCATTAGCTGTCACTGCTACAGTTATTTTCAGCTGCAAGTTCCTGCAGGGTGGGGCACCTATCTGAATCACAGCTTGGTGCCCCCTCCCCACTGACGCTACATCCCAGGCTGCTACCGCCGCCTGTCATTTCAGGTGAGTAGAGAGCAGCCTGTTTCTCTCAGTAGGGCTTAAGGGGACCGGTGGCCGAAGTGATTTCATCAGGGTGGGGCTCGCTCTGACTGAGGCTTTCATTCCTGATAACGCATTGGCTCAAAGACTGGAAATCCTTAAAACGTTTGTATAGTTTGGTGACGAGGACCCAAGGATTTGGAGAGCACTTCATCTTTTCTCCATTTCCCCACGGAGAAAAAGAGATGGGATGGCCACTGGAGAGTGGAGATTATATGGGTACAAGATACTGGCCCAATCCTGGCCGTGCGGTTGTTGAAGAGCTGAGTGTTTTAGCTGAGAGTACTAAGTTGTCTGTCTTTCCTCCAGGATGAAAGGGGAGACCCCTGTGAACAGCACTATGAGTATTGGCCAAGCACGCAAGATGGTGGAACAGCTTAAGATTGAGGCCAGTTTGTGCCGAATAAAGGTGGGTGCGACCCTGGCTCCCATTAGTTCTTCAGGCCTCTGCTGTAGGTTTTATAAACCTTGGGAAAAAAAAGATGCTTCTTTTCGTGACACCCTGAGGTCAGAGGCTGAGACTGGGCATTGTCAGTATAGCTGTTCCTGAGGACTGTGGGGCTGGGGGATAGGATTGTCTCAAAGAGCATTAGAAACTAAAAGATAGCTATTTGAAGGGAGCTGCGGCCCTTTCAGGAATTCTGGCTAATGTTTCCCCTCGTGGCTGTGCCCCAGGTGTCCAAGGCGGCAGCAGACCTGATGACTTACTGTGATGCCCACGCTTGTGAGGATCCCCTCATCACTCCTGTGCCCACTTCGGAAAACCCATTCCGGGAGAAGAAGTTCTTCTGTGCCCTCCTCTGAAGAGTTCTGTCCCTCTGAACTCATCTCCCTCCGAGACCCGCCCTTAGATCGTTAATTGTAGCAGCCCGTTTCTACCCATACCTATCATGAGATTCGCTGAAGCACAAGCCCTCCTTACCCATGTCTACCCCATCTCCTCACCCTTTGAGGCCAACTGCAAACACCTTTTACTCCATCCAGAGGGCCCCCGCTAAACTGCCAGAATCCTGCCTGATTCCCTCTGTGATCCGTTCAGGCAATGGAGAGGGGGATACCCGGGTGCTTGTTCTCAGTCTCACCTGGAGCTATTGGAAAGGTAAAGGCATTTGAAGAATAAAGTCATCCAGAGCCTCAAAGAACAGCGCCTGTGTTAGCGTTCTTGGGAAAGAGGATCCTTAGTCGATACACTTGCCATATCCCCGGAACAGGGCCAGTCGAGCCAGTTAGACATAGTAAGGGCTGGAGATCGCGGGTGTGAGGCGCGCGAGCGCCCCCAGTGTGGGGTTGTTCAAAAGAGTGCCCACAAGCTGCGGGGCGTTCACGGGCTCGCCACGACAGCAGGGAGAACTACACAGACCGAGTAGGGTGGGTTTCCGCGGGCACAGAGACAGGAGCCGGGTGGAGGTGCCCTGAGGAACAGAGAGGCGACTCAGGGTGTCTCGGCGCTCGGGTTGGCAGCGCCGCAGCCGCTGTCCAAGATGGCGGCCGCCTGTGCGAGCCGCACGGAGGGGAGCGTCAAGCTGCCGTACAGCACTGCTCTTGAAATGGCGGCCCCCAGCGTTCCCAATATGGAACGATCCCTTACGAAAGCTTCTGGTCTTAAAATGGCTGCCCCTGCCCTCTCGAAGTCAGAGCCGGGCACTGAGTCCCACAGAATCTGGAACTCGACATGGTCTGGAGAGCTCGAGCCCCAGGGGCACTAACGAAGTCATGGGTACTCTAGTTCACTAGGATTTGGGCTTAAAAAGCACAGTGTGGACTTTGCAAGAGAATCTTTACATCTTTCCAAGTAGAGGTTCTCTCTGAGGGATTTATAATAATACAAATGTGACAGAGTCCATCTTGAAGCGTGGTTCCTTGGTCTCTCTGGGAGCTAAATAAGCAATCAGTTTGTTTTCTTGTCTTTTTTAGTTTCTTCCCTGTCTGGAAGAACCAAAAAGGCCCAAAACACAAAACAAACCCAACAACAAAAAAGAAAGAGCACAGCCTGGCATGGTATGCATACCTTTATCCTGGCTAGAGATCACACGTACCTGGAGTGCCTAGCAAGTTTAGGACACCCAGAGTACCTTCCAGAAGGTGTTTTGTTTGAAGAGTTCCTCTGACCTCCATTCACAAGAGTATGCCTGTACACATCACCACCACACTTTTCAGTGCTGAAGTTTAATTTCAGTATTTTAGTATCTTTATTTCTTGATACTTGTGGTAACTATCCAAGAAGGATCCTTGTTATAATCCCTGCTTGCTCACAATACCCAGTATGCAATGGGTGCTTAATACCTTTCCTACTGTATCAGTGTTGGGAGAGTACCAGGGTAGTAAGAAAATCTTATCAGCTCAGATGTGGCAGATGTAACACTGGCATTAGGATAACTGTCACACCACCTTACCCACTAAAAAACCCAGGTTACTCTCCTCATCCAATTTGATACCTGGTCATATGGGTGAATAGCTGGTTGAGGAGAAAACCCAGGTTAGCAGCCCTACAAACAAGCTGTGAACTATACCCATTAAAAATAGAGTGGGGCTAGAAGAGGTGGTTCAGTGGTTATAAGCAGCTGTTCTTGCAGAGAACTGAGGTTCAGTTCTCAGCACCCACATGATTTACAACTGAATTTAATTCCAGTTAGAGAGGATCCAATAGTCTTCTTGCTCTGCACGCACCAGGCACACACATGGCACATACACATATGTGCAAGCAAAACATGCATAAATCTTTTTTTTAAAAGTAAGCTGAAGGGTGAACCATTAGGGATTTTTTTGAGGCAGGGTATTACTTGTGATCCTCTTGCCTCCAACTCCCCAGTGCCAAGATTACACACATACCAATATACCCAGCTGTTCTTGGTTTGTTTTTTGAAATAGTATTGCTCTGTAATGCAGGCTGATCTGGTATATACTGGCTTTGAGTTCACAGCAATCCTCCTGCCTTAGCCTATCTAGTGTTAGGACAAATGGCAAGTGCTATCATGCCCAGCTATGCTCTAATTATAAGCAGCTCCAACATTAAGTTTAAAATGCCCCAACAATGGGTGCTAAGATGATGGTTCAGTGCTGTGGAATAATCCTTTTGTACATTGTGAAGATTTGGTTTAATAAAAAAACTGACTGACCAACAGCTGAACAGGATAAAGATAGGCAGAAAAGCCAAATTGAGAACTTTAGGAAAGGCGGAGTCTGGAGTCACAAGCCAGATGCAGAGGAGATGAACATGACATGCTAATAAAGGTACCACCACATGGCAGAGCGTAAATAAGGAATATGGGTTAACTTAAAATGTAAGAGCTAGTTAGTATTAGTAATAAGCCTGAGCTTTTGGCGGAGCATTTATAATATAAGCTTCAGTGTTTGAGCTGTTGCAGGACAGAAAAACACCTACAGTTAAGTGGGTAGAAGTACCTGCCATTAAGTCTGATGACCTGAGTTCAATCCTTGGAACCTACATGGTAGAATAGAGAACTCCCCAAAATCATCTTGATCTTCATAGGTGTATAACATTAACAGGTAAAAAATAAAAAATCCTAGTGAGCTTGGTATGATAGCAGCCTAGGCTATAATAGGAAATATACCCTTTTTAAAAGACCGAAAGAAAAAGGTTCCAGTGACCCACACGAGGCAATGGGTTTGACTTCTGCTGCCAGCAGCAGCATGTAACACTAAGCCCTGTCAGTTCAGTACACTGCAATGCTGTTGCAATGTTTTTTATAATTTCCATTCTTCAAATGCATAGGGAAAATGAAAATTTTTCTTCTTAGGTAATAATTATTTGTACATAAACTTAATGGCTTTCATAACCTTTTTTTTGTTTGTTTTTGTTTTTCAAGACAGGGTTTCTCTGTGGTTTTGGAGCCTGTCCTGGAACTAGCTCTTGTAGACCAGGCTGGCCTAGAACTCAGAGATCCGCCTGCCTCTGCCTCCCAAGTGCTGGGATTAAAGGCGTGCGCCACCACCGCCCGGCAAATGGAACCTTTCATTTAACCTCAAATAGACAATTGATTCTTCTACTCTAATGGCTCCAGATGTTAGTATAAGAGGGATAGAGAGATGGCTCAGTGGTTACAAGTACTTGCTCACTTGCTGCTCTTGCAGAGGACCAGGATTCAGGCCCAGCATCCCCGTGGCAGCTAGACCCATGGGTTAACTCCAGTTCCAGAGGCTCCAATGCCCTCTAATAGCCTCCAAAGGCATTGACACACGTGGTGGGTGGATTTAGATGCAGGCAAAACACTCACACACACAAAATTTCAAATAATAATGTTTCTCTAAGCAAACACTAGGTAGACAAATCCATGCATAGATGGTTCCCATTATAGAAAAGGGCACAGCAGCCATGCAAAGAAGCTATCCTTGGTTGTATCAGAGTACAACTTGGTAACTAAGCACGAAAACGAAGGGACTGGTGAGATGGCTCGGCATTTCATCTAAGTGTGACAATCTGAGTTTGATCCTTGAAACCTGCATAAAGGTAGGTAAAGACTTCACAAAGTTGTTCTCCGACCTCCACGTGACCTCCCCTCCCCATCTGCATGAACACTTGATTCCCTGTGCACTTCTGTGCATACACCAAAATTTAAAATAGGTGAATAAGCTGGGGGTGGTGACAAACACACAAACACGTATAAACAAAGCATTTTGGGATTTAAGGCAGGATGATCAAGCCTGGGCTACAATGAGATTCTGTTTCAAAATAAACATTAAAAAAATACATTATTAAACACCCCCAGGATCACTCCAGTCAGTGCAGCCACAGGAGATAGGAAAATTCAATCCAAATGGTCATTTATTCTAAAACTGGAACTACTGTGCCTACATTTGTTGCCAGAATGATGTAATGAGAACAGGGAAGAGTTACAGATGTAAACAATGACACAGTTACATTTTTTTTTAAAATGGTAAAACCCTTTTTTTCTTTTTTTACTGGCCACTTCCAAGAATGCTTTACAGGTTGTGCAAAAACATTTACAGGCTCCATGTGGTGTTTTTCTCACAAGCTTTTCCATCTACAACTACAACAGAAGTCTGATAAAACACTAAACAAGTCTTCTAAGGGAAACAAAGCCAGGTTCCCTCCTGTTACCATAATCCACCCCCCCCCCACCATAACATTTCTTTTCATAATAAAAACACAAGACAGAAAAAAAAATGCAGACATTCACTTTGATGCAAGAGACCTCCTGGACAGACCCAACAAGGATGTGGCAGCTTTATTCTCCATTCAGTTAGAAAAACAGCTTTTTAAAAAGAAGACTTATCAAATTAATAATAAGTATACTCTCTAACCCATTGCTCCAAACTTCAGTGTTAAGTTTATGCCCCCATCCGTGGGTCCAACCATCCACAATCCATGTCACAGACTACTATAAAAGTGTTATTTGTTGGAGGACTGAATATCTGAACGGTCAGCTTCTGCCTCTGGAAACTAAGTTTTCTTTTATAACATAATCTTTTCCTAAGGGGATTTCTTTGGGCTCCAGTTTTTACCTTTTTGCCCTGACATTATAAACAAAGCTTTCTCAAATTCCCTTAATGATGCCAGTGAGTTACAAAGATACATGCAGTCATTCCACCCACTGTAACACACAAACCCACTTGTGGCACCGTAAGGGACAGGTACGATAGGAAAGACAACAGGAGCAAGCTGTCTCCTTCCAGGCCTGAAATGACCTCTGGAAAGAGGTCCTTGAATAGAAGGTTGAGTCCTAACAGACCAGAGAGTCAGAATAAGGGTCTGAACACCCAGAGAAGAACTGCACAGAAAGGACATCAGGACAGGGAAGATCCAAATCTCAGCACAAGTTTAAACAAGAGAACTAAATGCTCAGGTGAGGAAGTGGATGTGAAATATGTTCTAGTAGCACAGCCCAGAGGTTTCTCTCACCAGGAAGTACTGTAGGATGCTGCTGCTGAGTAAGCTTTAGCTAAGCAGGATGATTTAAATTGAAGCTCAGTATTAAAAGAGCATTGCCATATCCTGCCCATATTCTTGAACCCAGCAACCTGTAGTTGTTCTGTCAAGAACTGGGAGGGTGTTGGTAAAGTTACAAATTTAATGATCCCAAATGAAGTCTCTCGATGAAAGGCCTCTCTGGGACTCACAAGGAAACACCCCAGAAGGAATCCTCTTTCAGTTAAGTTGGGAAAAGGTGAAAGGCCTCTCTGGGGCTTACAAGGAAACACCCCAGAAGGAATCCTGTTTCAGTTAAGTTGGGAAAAGGTGCTCCCCTGCAGACACCCACACACACATTCACACAGTCTTCCCAAGTTTCTGCAGCCCTACTGAGCTGCCCCCCCTTTTCTACTCACTCTCATCTGTGTATCAAAACAAAAACAAAAACAACAACAGCAGCAGGGCAGCGTCCCCCACTGTATAAAATATTTGCTATTCTCAGCACCTGGGCCTGACAGCCCACACCACAGATTTACCTATATACATATCCTGACGCAGTGAACATCGTCTTGCTGCGTTTCTGTGAGCGGAAACCCTGAGAACCATTCCTTCCCTCACACTAAAAGAGGCCGGCAATCTTAGCAAATGATCTAGAGATCTCGCGCCTCTATCAACTGAGAAGACAAAGCGTCTAGGGCCTGGCAAATCACCATCTTTAGACTGAGGGCTATGTTCCCACTCTCCTCCAGACTTTATGGGAATTCATTGCATAAAACATGGATGGGGGAAAAAAAACTATTCTGATCTGTAGTCCCCAACAGTCCCCATGGCCTGGGAATCCTATATAATAGAACCACCCAACTAGCAGTCTCTGTGCCTTAGGCAGACAGCACAAAGGCACAACAAAGTGGACAGTGGGACATTTGGGCCTCCCAGCCTAACAGATCAGATATCCCAAGAGAGAAGGGTTGGTAATGAAAATACAAACGGTTAACTGGTGCAAGTGACTGATAGAGCCAATCATTTATTTTCACTGCCCTGGTCACAGGCGCTCCCTCCCTCTGCCCCCAATCCTGCCTCCTCTGTCCCTAACTCCTGCCTGCTATGCAGAGTTCCCTCAAGGTGTTCCCTTCTCCCCACACCACTCTCCCTTGCTGGGCTACCATTCCAGTTGCCTTAAGAGTGCTGGAGGGTACAGAACAGGCAGCCCTAAGTGCTGCTTTCTGTGCAAATGTTTTTTGATTACAAATAGCCTAACTAGGTTTGAAATGTTTTATAGAATAAGACAATATTCTTTTCAACAAACTTTAAAAAAAAATGTACAGTTTCGTTTTGCTTCCACTTCCCCCCCCCCACCCCTGCTTGCATACCCTCCCCCCATCCACCCCTCCCCGGCAGCTCAGCCCCACCCCAACAGCCCCTGTTTTCCTTGGTTGTGTTTTGGGGGATGCTTGGCATCCCCAGAGCCTCAGCTTCATGGCTGGCAGGTGAAAACAGCAGGGGCTTCACCGATACCCTTGGTAACCGTAGTAGTTCCTGTAGTATCGGTCTCTGTCCTGTTGGTGGTGGTAGTAGTAATTCTGCCACTAGAAGAGAGGGAAACCCCATCACTTAGAGCCAGAGCTGGCTGAGGATGAAGAGGCACGACATTCATCCAGCTGGTCCTTTCCCCTTCACCCTCAATCTATGCCAAGATAATACTCACATCCCGGTTGTATTGTCTGTAATAGTCTCTGTATCTGTTGTACTCATAATCTTGTCTGTAGAATCGATCATAGTCACCCCTGTATCGATCATAGAAATTACGGTAGCCCTGAGGAAGGAGAAAGAAGAGTGGTGGTGATATATGGGTCTCCAGAAGCACAACCCACAGTTACCCATTATTGAACAAGACATTATTTCATCTTGATACTATAAGCAGGGTAAATTTTTTCCCCAAGTTAAATTCTTCCAGATGAACATATTAAGTGGGCAAACCCTAAAGACCTAAGAAAACAGCCCAAACCCCTCTGCTCCCCCAAGTCAATAGGAATGGCTTCACAGCCCAGAGGGAGGAGCAGAAGGAGAGCTGCACTCACCCCTCTGTTTCCAGACTGCCCCCAGTACTGCTGCCCGTAGGCCCGGTTGTCGTAGCCTCGGCGCTGCCCGCCCACTGGAAGAGAAATGGAGAGGGCGCTCAGACAGCTGGCATGGGGTCCTGGCTCCACATCTGAGTGGAAATCAAAAAGTTGGAGCCCAAGGCAATTCTATGGGAAGAGGAGGCTTGCTCTGGCCAGGCTCACACAATGTTAAGTAAAGCACCAGCCAGGATCTTTTATTAAAAGAGTCTGAGAGGGGAGGGCAGAAGAATAGACACAAGATAACAAAACCACCCTGCTTTTGAAGCTCCCCAATCCTACAAAATATTTTAGATGACAAAAGGATGCATGGCAGAGTTACAGACATGAATAAAAACTGCCATTCACCAATCAGATTCTCAGCCCAAAAAGGGATCTGAGGTATCATGTAACCTATACCCTTCACTTACTGCATACAAAGAAATTAATCCCAGCACTCAGGAGGCAGAGGCAGGAGGATCTCTGTGAGTTTGAAGCCAGCCTGATCTACAAGAGCTAGTTCCAGGAAAGGCTCCAAAGCTACAGAAAAACCCTGTCTCAAAAAACCTATCCTCCCAGAAAACAAAACAAAACAATCTACACAATACTCAAGGCTAGAACTGTTGTTATTCCTGGTGTCTGAGAAATATTTAACACTAACTACCTGTTGATTTACATACAATTGTACACTCATACACACTTTTTTTTGCCCTTTTTTCGAGACAGCATTTCTCTGTTGCTTTGAAGCCTACCCTAGTACTACTAGCTCTTGTAGACCAAGCTGGCCTCGGACTCAGAGATCTGTCTGTCTCTGCCTTCTGAGTGCAGGATTAAAGGCATGCACCATCACCGCCTGGCTTAAATATGCCCTGGGGATTTAGCTGGCAAACTAGACATTCAGAGGAAAAATTAATTCCACTAATAACTAACTCGCTTTGTAACGCTTTAAAAGGATGGAAGAAATACTTTTTTGTCTGTGCAATTGGGTTGATTTCATAAAACACCAAGAAATCTTAAGGGGAGAATTGGCTTTCACTGCACACATCCTAAGACTGCAGTCAAGTCTGGAACCCACTTGCTCACACAGAAGCTACACAGATGGTGAAGCACAGGACTGTGTTTCAAGGAAACATTTTTTGCCCCACAATAACTCCCTTCTGGTTGAAGGATTATGGGGAATGCATAGGAAGCAAGTGCTAAAGACAAGAAGAAATAAGCTTCATTAGGAAAGTTGCTCATTGTGGGCGGCCAAGTCTCCAGGACTCACCATAGCCTTGGCCTCTGCTTCGGTTCTGCCGGTTTCTCTTGTTGCGATTGTTCCTGCGGTTTGTCCGCTTCTCAGAGGGGGGCAGCAGCTTCCTTGCTTCCTCCTTGTATTTAGTAACAATGGGTTGGGCTTCTTCTTTTTCCAGCTCCCCATAAGTCACCTCATCCATATAATCGCATTTCTCAGGCAGAGAGAAGTTGGCTATAAGAACAAGAGAGAAGCTTGTGGGCCTAGAAAGTATAGACAAGAATGCATGAACATCTACTACAGGAAGTATCCTTTAGTTTTTGGTGGCTCTGGGGATCAAATCCAGGGTTTTGTAAATGTTAATCAAGTATTCTGTCACTGAGCTATATCCAAGGGTTCTTATTTTGATTGCTTTGTTTTTCCCATTTTTGAGACTTTCTCTGTCCCACTAGCCAGCCCCCAAATCACAACACAGAGACTTATTACTAATTATGAACTTTGGCTGATAGGTTAGGCCTGTTTTTTAGCTGCACTTTTAACTTCAATTACTCCATTTCTATCAATGATCTATATGCTGCCACATGCTTGTTTATTTACCTCATCTACATACTGTCTACACTGCTTTCCTCCTTCTGTTGTCTCTTCAGACTTCACATTTCCATAGGATCCAAATTAACTTCTGCATAACCTCGGGGGTACCTATCAGATATCTGGTGGTCATTCTCATATGATAACTGGATAAATTAAGTTTTTTTTTTTTTTTTAAATAACCTTAGGCCACTCCTCTTCAATTTCATAATGCAATGGTATGGTAGGTTCTGCTTTAGTTCTATAGCCCAGGCTAACCTCAAGTACCTTAGGCTCTTGAGTGCTGGAATTACAGTTGAGTCAATACTCAGTTTGTTATTTATTGAAGCAGGAGCTCTCTACAAAGCCCTGGTTGTCCTGGAACTCACTATGTAGGCCAGACTGGCTTTGAACTCAGAGATCTACCTGTCTCTGATGGGACCATGCCCAGTTTTGTTGTTAATAGTATATGTCTAAATGAGTATGTGTTAGTGTAAGAAGGCTAGTGTAGGATGTCAGATATTCTCTACCATACTTTACTCCTTTGTAGACACAGTCCCTCTCAAAATCTAGAGACTCACCATCCTGTTGCCACCCTGCTCAGTAGTGAGATTCGGGAGTATACAGAGTACCTGACTTGTTATGTGGGTGCTGGGATCAAAACTTCAGGCTTCATGCTATGCAGCTAAGTCTTTAAGGACTGCATCATCTAGCTCTTGTTGGTTTTTTTTTTACACATAGGGTCTCATGTATCCCAGGCTGGTCTGAATCTTCCTGCCTCTTGGCTTCTGAAAACTGGGATTACAATTACAGTTGTTGTTACTGCACTTAGCTCTCTTTTTATTTTACTTTTTTCTCCTTTGAGATTGTTTTGTTTTAAAGCTCAGACTGGACTTCAGCTTGCTATACAGTCTGTGCAAGTTTCAAACTGAAGATCTTGCCTTACTGTCTGTCCCAAGTGGTAGAATAAAGGTCTGAACACAACAGCAAGACAAGCCTAATACTTTCAAAGTTTAACTTAGTAACACACTAAAATGTACTAGGCTCATACCAACTCATCCTTAGATAACCAAACTAACTTCTTTTTTGAGACATGGTTTCATGTAGCACAGGCAGACCTGGAACTCCCTTATATAGTTGAGGATGACCTTGATTTTCTTGCTTCCAATCTCTTTTTTTGGGGGGGAGGGTCCTCAAGATAGGGTTTCTCTGTATAACAGCCCTAGTTGCCCTGGAACTAGCTCTGTAGACCAGGCTGGCCTTCAACTCACAGAGATCCACCTGACTGCCTCTGGAGTGCTGGGATTAAAGGTGTGCACCACCACAACAAGGCTGCTTCCAATCTCTTAAAATCTGAGATTAGAGTCAAGTGCCACCATGGCTTTCTTCTTTTTAAAGATGGTGTCTGTCTGTATATTCCAGAATGACCTAGAACTCAAAGCAATCTTCTTGCTTTAGTCTTTTGAGTTCTGAGCAAGACTTGTGGTACCATGCCTAAGGCAAATCTTTTCCCTAAATTGAATAGACAAAGGGCTTTATGCCGGACAGGTTTACAAATTCTTTTTTTTTTTTTTTTTTTTTTTTTTTTTTTTCAAGACAGGGTTTCTTTGTAGCTTTGGTTCCTGTCCTGGAACTAGCTCTTGTAGACCAGGCTGGCCTCGAACTTCCAGAGATCCGCCTGCCTCTGCCTCCCGAGTGCTGGGATTAAAGGCGTGCGCCACCACGGCCTGGCAGGGTTTACAAATTCTTAAGTGATTCAAAATAGATCAGTGAGCTATCAAGACAGAAGGAACACAGGCTAACCCCTAACTGAACACGTTTTGGTGTTGCTTAGATTAAAAATTTGGTCTCAGGAATTGGAAAGCTAACCCAGTAGTTAAAAGCATCTCACTGCCCTTTGCAGAGGTCCTGGATTCAGTTCCAAGCACACACAGAGGTGCTCACAACTGTCTCGTCTCTAACTGTTCAGTTTTGACCTCCAAGGGCACCATTCATACATAGGCAAAACATTCACAGAAATAAAACAAACCTTAAAAAAAAGAACTTGGTCTCATTATGTAACCTGCCTAGTCTGTAACTTGTTTAGACCAATCTGGTCACAAATTCAGAGACCCACCTGTATCTGATCTGCTGGGATTAAAGGCATGTACCACCATGCCTGGTCAAGAAGTAACATTTTCAGAATTTCAAGATGGGACTGAGGGTATAGGTGAGGGGCACTGCACTTGCCTAATATATACAAAGGCCCTGGGTTTCAATTCCCAGTAGACCCTAACACACACACACATGCACACTCACGTGTGCACGCTAAAAGCATCATCTCTAATAACACACACGTACTGACAGCAAGGTCAGTCACTGAACAGTTAGTTATACATGATAGCCAGGCACATCTATCATTCTATGAACATCAAGTTCATAGACTGTGTCCCAGTGAGTTTTACTTCAATTATGATTCTCAGATGAATCCAGTTATCCCTATTTTACAAAACAGCATCAAATTCCTCCAAGTGCCTGAGTATTTGCTATGGGCTCGAATAATTCATTCTGTATAAATTCAGACACTCCAGCCCACAGATGTGAGAAGTGATTCCCACAACCAGGGGTTATGGAGTTTCCAGAGCCAGCAGCTGAGAGGGTGAGTGGGAAGCTATGAGTGAAAGGAAATATGATGAAGAATATGATCTGAGGGAACACCATAAAACAAGACCAATCAACATAGCCAACACTGCCTTGAGATGACCGTATACTTAGGCAAATAACAAATCAAAAAATAAGCAAAAAGGAAAACAAAACGTAAAACTATTATTGTAACAGAAATCAACATATGGTAGAGACAATTTTCTACAATTACTGTATTTTCATTTAAATGTTATCATTCTTGACATTTTTGTGGAATATAAATATTAATTTAAAATTGTATTTATTACTGTGAAGTTTCATTTCATATACCGATATTTTTCTACAACTAGGGAAATGATGGACAAACAGTATACACTATAAATACTTATTTAATAGGTAATTGACTCAATCCCCTTCCTTTACATCTAAGTATCTTGTTTGGATTTAAACATCTTATTTCTCATACTTCTTTTTTACTTTATTTGGTTTTTTTCAAGACAGGGTTTCTCTGTGTAACAGTCCTAGCTGTCCTGGAGCTAGTTCTTGTTGATCAGGCTGGCCTCAAACTCAGAGATCAGTCTGCATCTACCTCTGGAGTGCTGGGGTCTGAGGGGTGCACCACCACTGCCCAGCTCGTTCTTCCATTTGAGACAGCATCATTAGCTCAGACTAGCCTCCAACTTCTTATCCTCCCTGCTTTCAATTTCCAGATGCTGAGATTATAAGCAAACACCACCTTGCTTTTTTCTTCCCAACCAAGACAAGGTCCTGTTATGTAATCCAGGCTAGTCTAATTCATGATCTTCTTTCCTGACCATCTCAAGTGCTGGGATTACAAACATGTGCTACCTACTATGCCTAGACATTACCCTTTTATGTTTTAGCCACAAGTCAAGGGGTCTACTGTCAAGCACTTGCCTCCATTAAATTGTTTTTAAATTTATACTTTAGATGTAGAGAGTCACTCTTGGTGCTACGAGGTTCCAGTGGGGTTGTACTAACCAGGGACAAGATTCTCTAATCTATGCAATTTTAGCCCACCTTTCATCTCCAGCATTATAGACTCAGGCACATCATCTCCCTCCACTTCTTTTCTCAACTCCAGCCTCTTCTTCCAATCTTCCTCATTAGGGACAACCACCACCACTTTCCTGGCGAAGGTCTTGAACAGCAATAACTTCCTTCGTTGGCCAGAGTTGTACACATTACACTAGCAATGGGAGTAATAACATGTTTTAAAAACAAAAATCACCACTAAACTTACAGCTGAAGCATCAGGTTAGAAGTCAATACACAATTTTCTTTAATAACCACTATTATTACTATTGTTTGTAGTAATCTGGATCAAACCTAGGGCTCTGTACATGCTAGAAAACTGCTCTATCACTGTGCTATAACCCCAGTCTCCTCTGACTTTTCTTTTTCTTAGACAGGGCTTCTTTGTGTTGTCCTAGCTGTCCTGGAACTAGCTCTGTAGATCAGGCTGGTCTTGAACCATAGAGATCTGCCTGACTGTGTCTCCTGAGTATTGGGATTAAATGCATGTAGCACCACTGCTTGGCTTCTCCTTTGATTTTTATTTGAGACTCTACTTGATAAATATTTCACAATCAGGAAAACTGAAGTTAAAGAGGTAAAAGAAGTGTTCAAGATCACAAATGTAAGTAGGTCAAGATATTGACTAAATAAAAGAAATAAATGAACCCAAATCTCCTTCTATTCCTCTATCATATAGCTCATACTCTCAGGATAACAGTATGATGAGTTCAAGTACATTATGTAACTCAGCGCAGACAAACCTGAGTCTATTTTTTAATTCTTAATTCAGTCCTAGTGTGTATCCCAGTTTCGCTCTTTTAAAAAGTTGCAAAATTTTATCTCTGGACCTCTTTTAAAAATGTTCCTCTTGAATGTTTGAATACCTGATCAAGAATGAAGTTCCTCTTTGATCGGGAAGCAATCTGGACTAGCTTACTAAGGCACTGGGAAGCTTGCTGAACTAAGAGGTCTCGGCTCTTGGGGTCCATCTCTGGCTCCTCCAGCCCCTTCATCTGATAAGTGCAAGAAGACAGGAGGAAGACAAGGGGTTACACAACAAGTTCAAGATCCCCAAAGTCACTTGTTTTAAATGCTACATGGATAAGACCAACTCATCACACTACTAATTTTCTATAGTAACTACTTCCATTCTTAACCCGTACATACTCCAGATTGTACATTTTCAGAGACTTGACAATCCAGCAGGTATGGAGCACATTTTAACACATGACAGAAAGTTACATTTTTACATGTGTAGCCCTTGTTCTCACACATTTCAAAGACACCCTCCATCCCTGACTGAGGACAGGTTATCAAAGATTCCCAGAGTCTCCAGAGCAAACATCACTGCCGATTAACCATCCCTCCCCCACCTTTCAGCAACTGACCCTCATTTGACTGAGCACAGTCTCAGCTCCCAGGACATTGTATCTTTTCTCAGGGTTTTCTTTTGCATACTTTAGTGCCCACTTGGTCTTCCCAGATCCAGGGAGTCCTACCATCAGAATCACCTGCAAATAAAAGGAAACTAGGAATGTAATAAAAGAGTCATTTTTTTAAAATCCAACTTTCTTTAGAAAATATTCTTATATTTTCCCTATCCAAATTTGACAGTAATTTCAGAATTGATGGAGGAAGGACATTGATTAATTATAATAAAGAAACTGCCTCGGCCCTCATAGGACAGAAAATTAGGTAGGCGGAGTAGACAAAAGAGGATGCTGGGAAAAAGAAGCTGAGTCAGGGAGTCACCATGATTTTCCCGCTCCAGACAGACACAGGTTAAGATCCTCCCTGGTAAGCCAGCTCGTGGGCTACACAGAATATTAGAAATGGGTTAGAACAATATGTAAGAGCTAGCCAATAAGAAGCTGGAACTAGCCGGGCCAGGCAGTGTTTAATAGAATACAGTTTCTTTGTAATTATTTCTGGGCATAAGCTAGCCATGCGGGCGGCCGGGTGCCAGGGACGCAGCCCAGCCGCTCCTAATTTCAGCACAGAATACACCTGAAAGTACACAGTCTTCACTATTCTAAAACATGAGGCCCATACTTCTGCAATTTGGCATACCTCACACTCCTCTATGGTCTTAGGAGGAACTGCAATCCGTACACGCTCCTCAACAGGCACAGCATGGATGAACACAAACTCTTCTGGTGGTGGGAAAAAGGGCTCTTCCTTCTGACCGAAGTTTAATTCTACGACACAATTTTTGCAAAGGACGTGGGGTAGAAGGGCTCGATCTGCTAGAGATTCCTTGCTGATCCGGAATGCCACACCCAGGTCTTCTCCATTCTTGGAGAAGGAAAGTTCTACTTCTTCAGTCTCAAAATTCTACAGGGACAAAAGCACAAGAGCACTTACAGGTTGACACAGGTTTTAAGGACAATGAAGTCTTACAGCTTACTTTTTTTTTTCTTTAGTTGGGAGGATGGAGAGATGGGTCAGTGGGTAAAGGCACATGTCACCATGTATGATGACATGACTTTGGTCCTTAGAACCCACATGGTAGGAGAAAACTGTCCTCTGACTTTCACATACACACTCTGATATGCCCCCCCAATACATGTAGAAATAAGCAAATAAATACTGGGGTTACTGGGCAGCTCAAATAACCAAGCAATGCATATAGAATGTATAAAGCCAGTAGTTGGTAGGAAGCACAGCTGAATCCTCTCAGCCTTTGCTATATATAAATCCACAATTTACAGGAACACTTACAGCAAAACAGCCAATGACATCATTCTCCCCAAAAGTCTGGCCAAATTCCTCAAACTGCCCATTCTCTGCCTTGAGTCCTCGTCCATCAAAACCATAAGAGAATTCATCTTCACCTAGGATAGTCAATAATCAATTATCTATCTGTAAAGTTCCCACAGAGTGAGCAATATGGTAATAAACACAGCAAGAAGTTAAAAAATAACATTACCAAGCTGTGGACAGGAAAAATCAACAGACCACCCAACTCTGAGTAGAGAAACTTCTGTGCAGCCTTCTTTCATTGGGAGATTCTGTGTTACCTGGTCAAGTCAGAAAAGGAATTCTTAGGTACTTTGAGCAATGCCGGTACAAAGTCTGAGTTACAAAGATAAGATTTGTATACGAACTGAAAAGGAAAAAAAAGATCACAGCTAAATATCAGAAAAACAATTTTCAGTAAACCTAAACCAAAGACCAAATTTGTAGGTCTGGGTATATAGCTCAGAAATAAAGCACCTGGCCGGGCGGTGGTGGCGCACGCCTTTAATCCCAGCACACAGGAGGCAGAGGCAGGCGGATCTCTGTGAGTTCGAGGCCAGCCTGGTCTACAAGAGCTAGTTCCAGGACAGGAACCAAAAAGCTACAGAGAAACCCTGTCTCGAAAATAAAAAGAAAAAAAAAAAAGAAAGAAAGAAAGCACCTGATATGTACATGGCCCTGAGTTCAATCCCCAGCACATAAAACAAACAAGAAAACAAAACAAAGTCACAAGGGTCAATTTTGTTGCTCAGAGTTAAGGTATGTTAGTTAAGTCAGGTGCCTTCTCTGCACTAATAAAGTACTGGCTAGGCGGCCAACACACAGCTGAAATTAATAACTGACTTGAAAGAGCCCTTACCTTGGCCTCGAAGCATACTCTTCCCTTTGTTACTCCATAAGTACTCCTTGCCCCAGACCAAAGGGTAGGAAATTTTTCTGAGAAAAGTGGCTGCCCTCCATATCGGTCTTTGCTTATTTGAAAATGGAGATCCGAGGTATCTGTTAAGGAAAGATACAGGGCTGGAGAGATGGCTCAGAGGTTGAAAGCACTGGCTGTTTTTTCAGAAGTCCTGAGTTCAATTCCCAGCAACCACAGCAGTGGCTCACGGCCACCTCTAATGAGATCTGGAGCTCTCTCCTGGTGTGCATGCAGAACACTGTATACATAGTAAATAAATCTAAATAAAAGAAACATAACACAAAAGATATGCCTGGTTTACTGCAACACTCAACACTTGACAAGTGCCGGGAGCACCATTATGCCCAATTATCATGAATGGATACAAAAACTGTCCAAATACTCAAGCCATCAAGTTTTACTCTCAAAAGTCAGTTCTAGATCATGCCAGAGACTAAGGCAGGAGGATCACAATTTGGAAAATAACCTGGGATAAATAGCAAGGCCCCATTCTCAAAAAAATAAAAAAAACCAAAGCAATTCGCTTTATACATACATGTGTCCAGGTTCACAAGAGTCTGATCCTCCTCTTCATCTTTTGCCTCTTCTTCTGGAGGTGGTGGAGACTTCGAGCTACAGGTAGGAGAGGAGAGCAAATGCAATATAACCAAAGCTACTTTCTTGGAGGTGTTTGTGTGGCACTGTCCATTTTAAAGTATCAGTGAATTATCAAATTCCAGCAGACAGCTTCTTTCATGAGAAAAGGAAATAGCTTTCATCATAGATTTATTTACTCTAAAACTTATGCCTATAAAGATCTATTCATTTTTCAATCCACCCCTCCTTCCAGACTGTCCAATCAACGCCAGGAATACCAAAAGCAGAGCAGACATTCCCATCAAGGGAGTGTTTCCCTCACCGGCTGTGGTAAGCCTCCTCTCGGAATTCATAGTAAGCTCGGCCATGTTCATCCTTCTCATCCCGCTGTCTCTTTACCCCCCGCCGCTCACCATCTGAGCCTGCTGGTTTTGACTTTTCACTATCCTGGTCATCTCCTACAAAAGGGAGGGAAAGAAAATCAACAGTTTTTAATACTGGAGCATAGAATAAGCTCAGAACTAAGAGAATCTGAGTTAACCAATATGGGGAAACAGAGGGTATCTGAGTGAAAGTGTTCCTATTATAGCCATATGTTTTATATCCATATGTTTTATTTCCAGTATCTTTTTATTGATTAAGATGGGGGGGGCGCTGTGAGCTAAATACAGTCAAGAAATAGAAAAAGTTGGGCAATTTTTCCATTCTAAATGTATCTACTTCATTCAAGCCAACCTGACAGATCTCCCCACTAATAGGATAGAAAAATATCCCTGAAGTCGTTTAAAAACCTTCACAGGTGAATTTCTTTCAGTTCTCATCAGATTTGAATTTACAGCAAGTACTTAATGACTATTTTCTAACTTTTCTCAGCAGGTACATGGCACAGAAGCCTTACAATTTCTTTAAGAGACTGTCTTTTTTGCCTTAAAATGCACAACCACACTATGGCAGCTGTATTTTTTTAACAGGAATTTGAACTCAAAGTTACCAGAGCAAATCATTAAGTCACACGTGAACCATAAATAACACTACATCTTTACTGCATGGAATTTGGGGCAGGAAGGTGGTGGTGTACATTTAGCGACATTCTTTTTGTTGTTGTTATTTTCTAGACAGGGTCTCACTATGTAGCTCTGGCTGTCTTAGAACTCAAAATATAGCTGGGAGGCGGTGGCATATGCCTTTAATTCCAGCACTCGGGAGGCAGAGGTAGGCGGTTCTCTATGTAAACCAGGCCAGCCTGGTCTACAAGAGCTAGTTCCAGGATAGGCTCAAATAAATAAATAAATAAATAAATAAATAAATAAATAAATAGGCTCAAATAAATAAATAAATGAAGGAAGGAAGGAATAAAGAAAGATTGAATGAATGAAAGAAAACACTACAGAGAAACCCTGTCTCGGAAAAACCAAAACCAACCCAAACAAAAAACCACCTCATAGAGATCTGCCTACCTCTGCCTCCCAAGTGCTGGGACTGAAGGCGTGACACTAAGCCCGGCAGCACCACTCTTTACAAGGAGTACACACGGTTTTTCCCCTTAGGCTTTCATGTTTTGAAGGCTTAATAGTCTTTGACAATTCCTCTAAATTGCTCTCTTACCCGTCAATATCTTTTATCTGCTATTTGGAATACAAATAAGTCAAGGGTTATATAATAAGAGATTTTGTTCCAGAACGTTAAACACAACAACCTCCCCCCCCCCAAAAAAAAACTATACTCTGTAAAGTCATTGAAAAATAGATTCCAAGTACAGGACAATAACAGCCTTAAAAAAAAGTGCAACAAACAAACAAAAAACCTCAGGCAATCCAACTGAAAGTACGACTGGGAAGCAGCTCCCTCCTGACAGACACTACGGACTAGCTCTAACCACGCCAGCATTTCAAAAGAAAGGAGAAAGGTCATTGACTCCTGGGGAAAAGTCGCTACACGTATTCTACCACAAGGTTACTCAACTGACCCACTAGAACCCCTCAATCATTCCACCTCAGGAAGTTAGGGACCTTAAAGGCCCCAGTGCGGAAGGATAAGTCTATAAATATGCTCATTTACCGACTCGGAAGAATTAAAATACAACGACAATTGGGAGAAGGGGAAAAAGCTCCATTCAAGAAGCAACTAACATGCTACTAAAAGTTACCAGCCTAAGGTTTTCTTTCTCTTTGCTGGTTAATGATTAACCCAATCGCTCACAGAAACACTGCCAGCGCTGCAGCAGGAAGGAGCAAGGTTAGCTATCCAGAGGCTGTGTGAGGCGTGTGCTCGAACATGGGTTTGACAGAGCAACACTTCACAGACTGCTCACTAGGTAACGAGCTGACGGTAAGACTGTCAGCTAGGCCGAAGGTCTAAGCTTCTAACGGGTACCTGTAGTCCGCCAATTTCCCAGCAAATTTTCCGCTAAGGGCTGATCCACAGGTAGCTCGAAAGCAGTACACACACACACACGCACACACGCACGCACGCACACCACACACTTCCATCCACTAACACTGAGGAATCGCGTTAGACAGGAACCGTGGAGCCACAACGCACCCAAACCCCCCAAAAGATGGGCAAGTGAAAACCCCGCTCCCTGGGGAATCCCATCACACAGCCGCGGGAATCGTGCGCTTTCGGGCGAGTGGAAACAAGGAATCAGATCGCGCGCTGCGGGGTGGGGTGCTGGATCGGGGACGCACCCGGCAGGTTGGAGCCTTGCTCTGCTGCAAGTTCCTCACCTTGTTCCTCTGTGGCCTTGTCACCCGGTGCCTCGGATCCCGGCGTCTCATCCCCGCTCCGTTCCTCCGGCCCGTCTTCCTCCCCCTTGCCGGTCTCATGCTCTTCACCACCGTTTACCCCACCTGACCCGGCCGTGGCCTCCGCCGGTGCGTCGGAGGATTCGGGTTCAGCCTCCATGGCTGACGCCTCCGGGGGCTCCGGAGGAGGCTGCGCGGCCTGGCCCAAAGCTTGAGCAGGAGGAGGCTCCTCGTCTTCGTCCTCAAGCAGCGCCTCCTCGTCCTCCTCCTCCTCCTCGTCCTCCTCGTCGTCCTCCTCGTCCCCGCCCGGGCCTCCGCCCGACGCGGCCACAGGCCGAGGCTCCGCCTTGCAGGCCCCGCCGGGCCCGGCGCCGCCAACGCCGGCCTCGTCCTCCAGCATCTCAGCATCCAGCGCCTCCTGAAGCCGCTGCGCCAGATCCATCTTGAGGCCGCGCGAATCCAGACCCCGCCGCTGCAGCTCCGACCGCAGCTCGGTCACTTTCAGCCGCTTCACCTCCATCGCCGCCGCCGCCTCCTCCGCCTCCCGCCGCCTCCTCCCCTGCGAACTGTCGACCGAGTCCGACCGCGCAGGCGCCGCCGCCGCCCGCCTCCGCCTCCCGCGCCAGTACTGAGCCCGCGCTAGTAAGCGCACACAGGAAGCGGCAGGGGCCGCGCTCTTCCCGCGGCGTGTTTGTGTCGCCTTCTTCTGCCCTGCCCCTTTCGGCTCACGGAGCCCAAAACAAGGCGGCGAGGAGCAGCCTCCAGGGGACTCGACTCTCGACTGCGGGCGAGTGCGCGCCGAGAACGACGGAGTTCCCTCACTTCTCCTCCCTCCCCTCACAGGTTCGGGCCAATCAGCGGAGGCGTCCTAACTGCGCAGCCGCAAGGGGGCCTGCGCCGAAAAGGCTGGCTGCGGCTCAAGTGCCTCGCAGCCCGGAAGCGGGAGTGCGCCTCTCTTTCCGTACTTCAGTTGGAGGCTCTGCGCAGTCGCACCAGAGCCCCGCCCACCCTGTTAACACTCTTACTTCCTGATCGCTCTCAATTGCCGAGGTCTAGCTTGATGTCCTCGCCTCCTTATTCCTTGACCGCCTCTTCTGAGAGTGATAAACGAAGACAAGCCGGAGGGCTGGCGGGTGCACAGCAGTTGTTTTCGTGGCTCGTAGGCAAAGGGCTTTCCAGTACCAAGGAAGAACGAGCAATGCCCGGGCCTCTTTCTCTGGGGCTTAAACTTCTACCCGGCAACAGACGCGCCAACCCCGCCTTCCGCCTCTCTGATTGGCCAGCTTGAATCGTAGTCTGTTGCTCTGATTGGTCGTCTGATATCGTGCGGCTTTTTTTCCTATTGGAGAAGTAGCCGGGAATTTTTTTTTCCGGGTTGGTCCGCTGGGGAGGCGGGGTCGTTTCGGTGGGATTACTTTTCTGGACTCATTTCTGATTGGGTGATGTGACGCAATGCGCGCGCCCCGTTAGGTGCCAAACTGCTAGCAGGCCGGGTCTTTTCCTGTCCGAGCGCCGGCCCTTAAACTGAATCGCTGGAGACTTCCGGGCTTGGGCCACTGCGGTAGTGCGGTTGTAGGACTTGCCAGTGCACACGGCCTCTTCTGCCTCGCCAGCGGAACAGGGGCTCAGGCCTCATTCACTTCGCTCCTTCAGTTAACAGCAGAGACATCGACAAATGCTTGTTGAATAAAGAGAAATAAAGAGCTTGGGAAGGAGCGAAACCTTTTTGACCTCTTTCAGTTGTTCCCGCCTACTCCATCTTCTTCCAGGTCAGGGGGTGTGCCTCAGAGAAAGAAGGAAAAGAATTTTGCGGGCTGTCACACACTTCGGATGTTTAGCTGGGCCTTTGAATCTTCCTAGAGTCCATACTCACGCCAGGATCTCTTCTTTTGGAAATCATCATTTGGCCTGTGGCTTCACTACCTCCACATTATTCATTTTTTTTTTTTTTTTTGCGGAACTTGTGGAAACTGAAAAGAGGGTTAATTGGACTGTAGTCCTATAAAACATCAAAGCTCAAATCCTCCCGAAGGAGAGTAATTTTCTGCTCCTTTGTAGGAGACTTCCCAAAGCAATAATTTTGATCCCAACACCACAGCCTCAGTTGATCCTTCATTTAACAATTCTAACAGTCATGGAGAAGCGCCTGCAGGAGGCTCAGCTATTCAAGGAGGAAGGGAACCAACGCTACCGGGAAGGGAAGTACCGAGATGCTGTGAGTAGGTACCACCGAGCTCTTCTTCAGCTGCGGGGCTTGGACCCAAGTCTGCCTTCCCCGATACCCAGTCTAGGACCTGAGGGCCCAGCTCTCACGCCGGAGCAAGAAAACATACTGCACACCACTCAGACAGACTGCTATAACAACCTAGCTGGTAAGAGCAGGGCTGGAGGGTGGGTAGAACATCAAGACTTGCCCGTCCAGCAAAGCAGAGGCTGCGCACGCCTTTAATCTCAGTACTCGGGAGGCGGAGGCAGGTGGATCACTGAGTTTGAGGCCAGAGTGGTCTACAGACTGAGTTCCAGGATAGGCAGGGCTACACAGAGAAACCCTGTCTCAAAAAACAAAGCTAAACAAACAAAAAAAGAGACTATCAAACCCTGTGAACACTGAAAAAAAATACATTCTTCTTTGCTGTCATCTGGTTATTCGGCATGAATTGAAACCTGTTTCCAATCAGTAGAGAACTCTTAAGCAGGCAGGATTTTTACAAACTCTCCAGATGTTTGTAAAAATAGAACCTCTTAGGCCCTAACTCCAGAATCTTTGATCTAGTAGATCTAGGGTGGGACCGCCAGTTGATTTATCTGGAGGAATGTTGCTAACTTTAGAATATTTTGCCTACTGTAGAGAAAAAGTGCTTTTGTCTAAAGGAAATTTAACATTTGGGAAACACGTTACTGGCTCTAGATAGTGTAGATCAATTGTGCTTGATAGTATAATTTTTTGTAGAAATCAAGGACATTGGATAATTAGTATTTTCCATTTCCCTATGGCTTTGTATGAAGATAGAACAGTTCCGCTAGGAATAACCTTAATTGATAAGAGACCTTTTAGTCTTTTCTATGATAGACAAATCAAGCTTAGAACTAATCAACTTAATTTATAGCAGAGTAAGAAATTCTAACAATGTAAACTGAGGCTATATATTTTATCAGGAGCTGTTATGTTTCCTACTGGCTGCTTTTTTAAAATTGTTTTGATTTTTCTTGAGTCTCAGTATGTAGCCCAGTCTGGCCTGAAACTCACTTTGTAGACCAAACTGGCTCCAAACTCCTGGCAGTCTTTATGTCTCTGGCTACCAAGTGCTAAGATTATAGGTGTCAGCTTATTTATTATCTGGCTGCTTATTTTAAAAATATCTTTGTGGACGGGTGGTGGTGGTATACATCTGTCATCCCAGCACTCAGGAGGCAGAGGCAGGAGGATCTCTGTGAGTTCAAGGCTGCAGAGCGAGTTCCAGGACAGGCTCCAAAGCTACACAGAGAAATCCTGTCTCAAAAAACCAAATGTGTGTGTGTGTATAAACATCTTTGTCATCTCTGTGAGTTTGAGGCCAGACCAGCCAGAGCTTCATAGAGACCCTATCTCAAACAGACAAACGAACAAATACACATACATATACACACACACATATATATATAAATAAAGCACTCTTAGATGTACACATACATATACACATATATATATAAATAAAGCACTCTTAGATGTATAAACTTAAATATGTATACACACACATATATTGCATGCACACATACAAGCAGTGTTGGAGTGGAGCTGTGCAACTCAGGGCCTTGCACATGCTAACCAAAAACTGTGCCACCAATCTATAGTATCAGCGCTAAAAACTTTTGAAATTACAATATTCCTTAATTATGATAAGAAGCTAAGGGTATTTTTTCCCAGTGTGTCCAGCAATAATTTTGGGACTCAAATAATAGTAATTATGGTGGTGTTTTGTTTCTTTTTGCAACAATGTCTGTGTAGCTCTGGATAGCTTAGTTGACTTGAACTTGCCTGCCTCTGCCTCTACAGTGCTGGAACTAAAGGCATTCATAGCCTATCCCCTAACAGTAGCTGTTTCAACTTAATTCTGATCAACAGTTATTAAATGCTGAGGATTAGTAGTGTAACACGACCGATAACAATCCCTATATTCATGAAACAAAGGAAATAACATGGTATATCAGACAGCAAGTACTGCAGAGGAGACTAAGTGAGATGGCGTGGTGCTTTATACCTGTAATCCCCACACTGGGGAGGTCCAAGTAGAAGAGTGACTTCAAGTCTGAGGTCCAGGCTAGCCTGAGATATATGCTAAGACCCTGTCTTAAACAAGTAAGAATAAACTGGAAAATGGAAGTAGATAGAGTCCTGAGATGTTCGATTTAAGAAAGGATGGCTCTATAGGATTCATAGATGTGACATGATCTATGTTAAGGTCATAATTCTTCCAGATTAGTCTAAGGAAACTAGAACTAATCTAGCAACAAATAGATTTAAAATTATACCCGGCAAACAGTCTTAATTCCCAGAGCTTAAATTCTTATTGCAGGATACTGGCATTATTTAATCATTGCTTGATCTCAGTTGCTACCTCTGTCAAGATCAGTCAGGCAGTATATCCTAGTGTACTTTCGCTAAGCTGCTAAAATCCTAGCTCATAGCTGGGGCCCAAAGGTATAGTGGAACAATAGGATTTGTGCTTTATATCTTAGCTTGTATCTGTTAAACTCAGATCCCTCTCTAAGCTCAAAAATCTTCACCTTCTAAAGTCTATAAAAGTAATTTCCTCTGTTTTGTGGGTTGTTGTTGGGTCTCCTACCTAACCAAGCCCCATGCCCTAATAGCCAGTATTACAGAAAGGTATTTCTTTTGAAATCGGTTTCCGTATATCCCCCATCAAACTGGGGGGTATTATTTAGACTAAACAGGACTAGAAAAATGACCCAATAGTTAAGAACACTGGCTACTCCAGCAGAGGATTGGAGCTTAATTCCCAGTACCCATATGGTGATTTACAACCATTTCTAACTCTAGTCCCAAGGGATACAACACCCCCTTTCTCACCTCCGCAGGCACCAGGCACACATATGGTTTACATACATAAATACAGACAAAACACTCATACCCATAAGAACATATAGCTTATAAAAATAATCATCAAGATACCTTCCTTGTTCTTCTTAGTCCTTAGTTTAATGTTTGAACATAGTTAGTGATAGGTATATAGTTATCAGTTAAAGTATTGAAGCTAAAATGCTGGATTAATTGACCTGTGGAGAATACCTTGTGAAAAGCCTGCTTGGTGTGGGGGTGTTGTAGCAGGGATGCAAATACAGTCCAAGCTTGTTATTGACTTCATTATACCTGAATCAACCATCTGAGCATGATTTAACTTTAATATATTTATTCCAATAGCTGTGAAATAGGGTGTATCTTTCCCTTTCTTTTTTTTTAGATATATTTATTTATTATGTATACAACATCCTGCTTCCATGTGTGCCTGCATGCCAGAAGAGGGCGCCAGATTTCATTATAGATAGTTGTAAGCCACCATGTGGTTGCTGGGAATTGAACTCAGGACTTCTTGAAGAGCAGCCAGTTCTTTTAACCACTGAGCCATCTCTCCAACCCCCTCCCTTTCTTTTTTTAACTTGGAAAATATTTGTTTGGTTTTTGAGGGCGGGGTTTCAAGACAGGTTTTCTCTTTATAGCCCTGGCTGTCCTGGAACTCACTCTGTAGACCAGGCTGGCCTCGAACTCAGATATTCACCTGCTCCTGCCTCCTTAAAGGTGTGTGCCACCACACCCAATTATTTATTTTTAATTATGTGTATGTGTTTATGTGGGTATGTGTACATGTCAAAGCAGATGCCTTTGATGTCCAGAAGAAAGCATCAAATTTGCTGGAGCTTTAGTTGCAGGTGGTTGTGAACCATCTAGTGTGGGTGCTTGAAACCAAACTTGGGTCCTCTGCAAGAGCAATATGTGCTCTTAACCACTAAGCCATCACTCCACCTCTGTTGACAGCCGTTCAGTCCCAAAGAAACACACAGAAGTCTACATTAATTATAAACTGGCTGACCTAATAGCTCAGGCTTTATTAACTAATACTCACATCTTAAATTAGCCCATAATTCTTGTCTGTGTTAGCCACCTGGCTTGGTACCTTTTATCAGTGAGGCGTTCTCACCTTGCTTCCTCTTGGTCTGGGTGATGACTACAGACCGAACCTTTCCTCTACCCAGAATTCTCCTGTTCTGGATGCCTCGCCTATACTTCCTGCCTGGCTACTTGCCAATCAGCATTTTATTAAACCAATACAACTAACAAATCTTTACAGGGTACAAGATCATTGTCCCACAACATACCTCCTTTACATTTATTTTTGGTGGTGTTGAGACTGAACTCAAGAGTCTCAAGTATGCCAGGCAATCAATCAGTCTGCTAAGCTAAAACCCTTCTTTAAGGCAGAACACTATCTTGAACATTGCTTCCTAACCAAGATTTATTCTGGGTTCCATTAATCAGCCAAGACAATAGTGTATTAATACTATATGATGTTGTTGGAAATGAGGTTGGCATGGTGGCACAGAACTTTAATCCCAGTACTGGAAGCCTGAGGTAGGAAGAACAATAGGAGTTTGGGGCCATACTGGAGTTTCAGGACTGCCTGAGCTACAAAGTGAGAACCTGACAGTCTCAGTCAAGTACTACTGCTGTGTAGAGACAACATGACCACTCTTATAAAGGAAAGCATTTTATTGGGGGCTTGCTTACAGTTTCAGAGGTCTAAGTCCATTGTCATCATGGCAGGGAGCATTGTGAAATGCAGCAGACATAGTGTTGGGAAGTAGCTGAGGGTTCAACTTCTGGATAGGAAGGCAGCAGGAAGAGCAAGAACCACTCAAACCCCACCCCCAGTGACACACTTCCTCCAATAAGGCCACTCCTCCTAATCCTTTCAAATAGTGACACTCCCTAATCATTTAAATACATGAGCCTGTGTAGACTATTCTTACTCAAACCACCACACTGACTCAACAAAACCAAACTAAATGTTGGGTGTGTAGATACACGCCTGTAATTCTACTGATTGGGTATGTGGAAACAAGATCATCATCTTCCAATATATAGAGGATTCAGAACCAGCTGCAGCTACATGAGATCCCCTACCTCAGAACACTGTGAAATCAAAAACAAAAGATGACAGGACTTGGTTCAGATTTCATGCTCATTCCACTAATAAGCTCTGAGATCTTGGGCAAGTTGCTTATCTGAGCCTGGATTTTTTTCATCCATTGTGGACTGTGGGTGCAAAGATAGAATAGCTTGTTCTTTCCTCACATAATGGCAAGCATTAACAATGCTGCAGTATAAGACCTGATGAGACCAAGAAGTTAGGACACAGCACTAGGTAGAAGAGATACAATGATGAGTTCCATATGATCCCCAGCACCAAAGAGAGGGGAGGAAAAGGGGAGGGTAGACTGTGAGAGAGGGTCTTATATAGTAGCCTATACTGGTCTTAAATTCCCCATGTGGCCAAGTGTTAGTCACTGTTCTATTGCTGTGAAAAGACATCACGACCAAGGTAGTTCTTAAAAAGAAAAGCATTTAATTGGAGGCTTACTTACAGTTTCAGAGGCTTAGTCCATTATCATCATGGCAGGGAGCATGGTGGCCTGCATGGCATTGGAGGAGTAGCTAAAAGCTACATTCTGATCTACAGGCTGCAGGAAAAGTGAGAACTGGGCCTGGCATGGGTTTTGGAAACCTCAAAACCCACCCCCTACAGCAACACACTCTCTCCAACAAGGCCACACCCTCCTACTCCTTCTCAAATAGTGCTACTCTCTGATGACCATTGGTAGTCAAACCACCACACTGAAGATGACCTTAGAGTCCTAATCCCTAACTCCTCGAATCTCTACCTCTCAAGTGCTGGGATTACAGATGTGTACACCATGCCATGCTTGAGAGAGTTTTGAATACAGGATTTAAAGGATGGAGACTGGAAAGATGACTTCCCAGTTAAAAGTGCTTACTCCTCTTACAGACAACTTGGGGGTTTACTTCAGCACCCATATCACAGGTCACAGTCATCTGTAACTCCAGTTCCAGGGCATCTGATGCCTCTGTGACCACCTCGGGCTCCTGCATGCATATAATACATATGTAAACTTGTTGTATTTATTGTGTGTGCACATGTGCTCAAGCATGACACTGGACACATGTTGGGAACGGCAGAGGAAAACTTGTGGGAGTCAGTTCTCTTCTTCCCAAGAATCAAACACATGTCATCAAGCTTGCTGGCAAGAGCCTTTACCCACTAAGCCAGCTTGTCAGTCAAAACTTTTCTATCTCCAGTTCCTAGATGAGGGGATGGGTATGGGAGACACTTTAGGATTAGTTGAATAAATGAATATTGGGGAATGCCTTGAGTTGGCTAGTGGAATCTCCTATAAGCCTACCTTCTCTCCTTTTAACTTGATCCATTAGCCTGTCTCCTCCAGATGGAGCCAGTGAACTATGAGCGAGTGAGGGAATACAGTCAGAAAGTCCTAGAACGACAACCTGATAATGCCAAGGCCTTGTATCGGGCTGGAGTAGCCTTCTTCCATCTGCAGGACTATGACCAGGCTCGGCACTACCTGCTGGCTGCTGTCAATAAGCAACCTAAAGGTGAGTGAGAGGAACATTAAGGTGGTGAGCATATATAAAATTGTTTTGTTAGTATAAAGAAATGATCAGTGTTTAAGGAGATGACAGAACTAATTGCTGTGCTCTAACATTACACACTGTATATGTCATGTATTGAATTATATCCAGTATTCCTGTTAATATGTACAGCTATTACAAATAAACAGAAAAAACTTCTTAAAGAAAAGAAGAAGCCGAGCAATAGTGATGCATGCCTTTAATCTTTAATCCCAGCACTTGGGAAGCAGACGCGGGTGGATCTCTGTGAGTTAGGCCAGCCTGGTCTACAAGAGCTAGTTTTAGGACAGGCTCCAAGCTACAGAGAAACCCTGTCTCAAAAAAAGAAAAAAGAGCTGGCAGTGGTGGCGCACACCTTTAATCCCAGTACTCAGGAGGCAGGTGGATCTTTGTGAGTTCGAGACTAGCCTGGTCTACAAGAGCTAGTTTCAGGACAGGCTCCAAAGCTACAGAGAAACCCTGTCTTGAAAAACCAAAATAAATAAATAAATAAATAAATAAATAAATAAAGAAAGAAAGAAAGAAAGAAAGAAAGAAGGAAAGAAAGAAGAAAAGAAAAAGAAGAGGTGGGAATGAATATATATAGCTTAGTTGACTTAGTAGGTAGGCATGCACAAAGCTCCAGGTTCAATCCCCAGCATTGCATAAAAGCATACGTAGTGGTGCACAAGCCTGTAATCCCAACACTTGGGAGGTAGAAGCCAGAGGATCAGAGTTCAAGGTTAGTGAGTCTGAAGATGATCTGGGCTACGGGAGATCCTGTCGCAAAGCAAAACTGTTTCATGATCCACCTGCCACTGCCTCCCGAGTGCTGGCATTAAAGAGTGTGCTGCCACCACCTGGCTTCACTTTTTTTTTTTTTTTTTTGTCTCTGTAGCTTTCTCTTCACCCTCAATTTTTAACTTTTTAAAAAACTGATACTACAAACCAGATAAAAAATCCCAGGAGGGCCTGGTGGTGGCGCACGCCTTTAATCCCAGCACTTGGGAGGCAGAGGTAGGAGGATCTCAGTGAGTCTGAGGCCAGCCTGGTCTACAAAAGCTATTTCTAGGATAGGTTCCAAAACCACATAGAAACCCTATCTAAAAAACAAACAAACAAACAAACAAAAATCCAAGGAGGAAGTGGGGAAGATGGTCATGAGATTCCTAGCTGAGTTACAAGCCTTTAATCCAAGCACTTGGGAGACAGAGGTTGGAGGATCTTTGGGTTTGAAGCCAGCATGGTCTACAGAATGAGTTCTAGGATAGCCAAGGTTACACAGAGAAACCCTGTCTTGAAAAACCAAAAAAAAAGAAGAAGAAAGAAATTCACAGCCGAGGAGCTATGTGATAGCTGTTGAGGGGAGAGTTAGTTTTCTTTAATGATGCTACCCCCTTGTAGGTCACCCACACTCCAGGGCAAGCACCATTCCCAAGAGTATCTAGGCAACACAAACTAGAGTAGATGGGGTTGGGAAAAGAAGAAGAAAGCTTAAAACTTGGGTGGGGTGGGAGTTTGAGGGCAGATAGGAGGGTAGGTGAGTATGACAAAAATGTAAAATTCTCAAAGAATTAATCAAATATTTTTTTAAACCTGTCTCAAGAAAAATATAAAAAATTTAAAAAGAGGCTGGAGAGATGGCTCAGAGGTTAAGAGCACTGCCTGCTCTTCCAAAGGTCCTGAATTCAATTCCCAGCAACCACATGGTGGCTCACAACTATCTGTAATGGGGTCTGGTGCCGTCTTCTGGCCTGCAGGCATATGCACAGACAGAATATTGTAAAATAAATAAATAAACAAATAAATAAATAAATAAATAAAGCATTCATATATTTAAGAAAGTAAGCTGGGTGGTGGTGGCTCACGTCTTTAATCCCAGTACTTGGGAGGCAGAGGCAGGCGGATCTCTGTGAGTTCAAGAGAGTTCAAGGCCAGCCTGGCCTACAAAGTAAGTTCCCCTACAGCCAGGACTGCTAAAGAAACTTTGTCACGAAAAACAAAAAACAAACAGAATGTGCACATGAATAACTTTTCCACTTCTGTGTTTTTGATTTTGTTTTTTACTTACTTTGTGTGTTGGGGTGGATGTTTGCAAGCTGCAGCACATGTGGAGTCCAGAGGACAGCCTGTAGAAGCTGCTTCTCTCCTTCCACCCTGTGGGTGGCCTGCAGCTGCATCCTTAGTGCCAGCCACCTTGAGGAATGCTAGGATTATAGTTTCTTACCACCTCATCTGCAATACTCTGTCCTTGTTTCTACAGGAACGCAACTATTAGTTCTGTCTGCATCCTTAGGAATATTTAAAGCCCCCCCTACCTTTTAAAGAGTATGTTAGTGAATCTCAGTGAATGAACTTGATCGTCGTCAGTTGGCCTGCTGTCTGGATAGGAGCTGTCCTTCACTTTAGCTATTGCCTTATTTTTTAGCTCAGCTAACTCCAGGTGTGACCTAGAAAAAGAAACCACTGACTGGGAAAATTTCAGATTTGGCACTTTCAGGACAGAAAGGAAACTGTGAAGCAGATGGCAGGTTCATTTCTGTGTTGGTTGGTTTAACACTGAATATTGTTTTTTGTTTTTTGTTTTTTTTGGTTTTTCGAGACAGGGTTTCTCTGTCTGTGGTTTTGGAGCCTGTCCCGGAACTAGCTCTTGTAGACCAGGCTGGTCTCGAACTCACAGAGATCTGCCTGCCTCTGCCTCCCGAGGGCTGGGATTAAAGGCGTGCGCCACCACCGCCCAGCAACACTGAATATTGTTTCTCCCTTTTTTTCTTCTCTTTCTCAAGAGAAGTTACACAGTTTATCTGTGTAAACCTAGCTGTCCTGGAACTTGCTCTGTAGACTAGTCTGACCTCAAATTCACTGCCTCTGCCTCTGAAATGCCGGGATTAAAGGCCTGAGCCACCACTTCCGGGCTTTTTTTTCTTCTTCATTTATTATGTATACAACATTCTGCCTCCATATATGCCTACACACCAGAAGAGGATGCCAGACAGAATTGAAGTCACCACCTCTGGAAGAGCAGCCAGTGCTCTTAACCACTGATCCATCTTTCCAGTCCCCCCTTTTCATTCTTAAAGCAGCTATTGGAGGCTAGTAGCAAAGGAACCCCAAACATAACAGTGCAGTAAAACTTTTCACTAATTTAAATGAACGCTAAAGCCACTATGAAGTAATGAAGGTATATGAGCCATTTGTTTTTGTTTCTTGACTTCAGGTATACAGATGAAATGCTACTAAGTGGGCACAGTGGCACACATCTTTAGTCCCAACTATTATGAGAGGCTGAGGCAGGAGGGTCACTTAGCCTGTAAGTTCAAGACCAATCTGGGCAACACAGCAGACCACATCTTTAAAAAAAAAAAAAAAAAAAAAAATCCAGGGGCTGGAGAGATGGCTCAGTGGTTAAGAGCACTGGCTGCTCTTCCAGAGGTCCTGAGTTCAATTCCCAGCCACCACATAGTGCCTCACAACCATCTGTAATGAGATCTGGCGCCCTTCTCTGGCATGCGGGCATACAGGGAAGCAGAATATTGTATACATAATAAATAAATAAATCTTTAAAAAAAAAAAAGAAAGAGATTNGTATACATAATAAATAAATAAATCTTTAAAAAAAAAAAAGAAAGAGATTAAGATAAAACTTGGGGAAGAATTTAAAAAATAAAATCCAAAAATAGCCAGCCGGAGGTGGCATATGCCTTTAGCTTCAGCATTCTCAGAGGTAGGCAGATTTCTGTGAGTTTGAGGCCAGCCTTGTACACAGAGAGTTTCAGGACAGCCAGGGTTACACAGAGAAACCCTGTCTAGAAAAAAAACAAAACAAACAAAAAATTAGAAAAAGGCTGGTGATATAGCCCAGCTGGTGGGTTGCTTGTCTGGATCCCCATCAGTGAATAATGCATGAGGGTTCATTCATGACTATAATCCCAACACCTGGGAGGTAGAGGCAAGAGGACTGTGAATTTGACAAGCAAACAAAACTTAGCTCTGACCTATAGAGATTTTGTTTGTTTATTTAAGTCATAATTTTAAGATGGGTGAATCAGCAAGGCTGTCTTCAGGTACAAATCAGATTCAAAGCCAGCATGGGCTACAAGACTTCCAAAAGAAAGAAAAAAAATTGTCTGGCAGTGGTGGCACACAGCTTTGGTCCCAGCACTCAGGAGGCAGAGACAGGCAGATCTCTGAGTTCGAAGCCAGCCTAGTCTACAAAATGAGTTTCAGCACAGCCAGGGCTACACAGAGAAACCCTGTTTTGAAGGGGAAAAAAAGTAATTCACGGTGACATAAATTAAGTAACAGAGGTCATTATTTCATGAAGTAATTGTGACACATTCAGATTCAGATTTTGGAGAACTAGAGTAACTGGGAGTGTTACCAGTGCTCTCTGGTCCACTGGGTCATTGTGGTCTGTCTGTAATTGCCTTTTTTCTTTGTTGTCTCTGAAGATGCCAATGTCCGGCGATACCTCCAGTTGACACAATCAGAACTCAGCAGCTACCACAGGAAAGAGAAGCAGCTATATCTGGGCATGTTTGGTTAATGAAGAAAAAAGATGCTTCTCTACTTGAGCTCAAGTGGACCACTAAAGACCCGTCAAGAGAGACCTGAACCTCAACAAGAGAGATTCACCCTTTACTTCTGACCCAGGTGGATTTCTATTTTCCTGTTCTGCACAAGCTCTTTGCTACTTAGGCCATGTGGCTGGCAATCCATATTATTTGCCTTGAGAAATCGACTAGAAAGCATTCATCCACTGTGGATGCAATCAACTATATTTGTGATGTAGATAAAATGAGATGATATTAGATGTGTTCAGATACAGAGGAGAAGGCCAGTGAAGGATAAAATAGTAAGGACAGGCAGAAAGGAATCTTTTACTGTTTCCTCAGATGCCTTTGTTTTTCTCAGTGGGAAATATATATAATTTGTGAGACTAGATAAATATAAATTGAGCCCAAGTATATGTACATTTACATTAAAGATTTGAAATTAATCATTTTGGGGCTAGGATGTAGCTCAGTGGTAGAGCCTGGCATGTACAAGGTCCTGGGTTTGATTCCCCAGTGTTGCAAAAATAAACTAAACAACAACCAAATCCAACTTTTATTTAAATTAATCTCTTTTGTTTGTTTGTTTGTTGTCAAGATATGGTTTCTCTGTGTAGCCTTGGCTCTCCTGGAACTATCTCTGTGGACCAGGCTGGACCCAAACTCACAAAACTCCCCTGCCTCTGCCTCGCAAATGCTGGAATTAAAGGTGTGCACCACGACTGCCTGGCTCTTTAATTTTTTTTCTCCCAGTAATTTCTAGTCCTTGATATTGCTTATATTCAGATCATTAACACAGTATAACTTATTAATTTGTCTTTATTCTGTTTTAAAGCTTCTGAAGTAAATGCTTGGAATACATGAAACCCTGTTTTTTAAAAACAATGTTTCTGGGAGTCAAGCACGTAAATAGTTAAGTATCTAATAACTCTCTGTCCTCATGCCGAAAAGGAACCCACGTGCTAGTGAGCTTTTTATGGGTCTGTATGTAGTGTGGGGCTGGAGTTTGAACCTATCTTGCACATGCTAGGCAAGCACCCTATCATTGAGCTACATAGTCAGCCTCAAAGTGGTTTTGTTTCTTTTTGTATTTTGGACAAGGTTTCTCTGTGTAGCCCTGCCTGTCCATGTTTTAATTTTTAATAGGTGCATTTCTAAAGTGTGTTCATTTTTCTCAGAAACATTAGTGTCTTCTTGAAAGAGTATCATAATAAAGCATGACAGAACCCAAGTCTCCTCTTCATCTGTCGCTCTTATTTTGTAAGAGCTCAGGACCTCTCAGAGAAAAGAAACCACAAGGAAAGACAGTTATTGCTTAGTCTTGGAATTCTGATAGGACCTGGGAAGCTGCTGTGCTCATGGGTGCAGGGTGCAGATCTAGTGCAGCCCTGCCTCTGTGGCGTCCATCAGCCAATGGCTGCTCTGTCATTCTGTTTGCTCTGTGGATTGCGTCTGTATCATGGGTGCCAGTTAGTAGCTAAGACCATGTAGTAGGTCTCTGCCATTAAAAGCGGAGACAATAAGCATGTGGTATTCATTAAACAAATATGATTCTTGGGGTGGGGTCAGTCTACTTTATTAATAACACCCCAAACTCTCCCAATGCACTACTCTTCTTTGGTCCTCCCTATAGTTTAAATAATACATGCATCAAAGTACAGCAAAAGGCTTACTACCAAATAATCTAAAAAATCCAAGGCAAGAACTAAGTAAAGTAGAATATTTTCTTTATTTAACTTCTTAAACTGTTAAACCTAGCATTTGCCTGTCATCTCAGCACTCAGGCTGAGGCAGGAGGATTGCTATGAGGCTATATACTGAATTTCAGACTAGATTGGGTTCCCTAACAAGATCATGTCTTTTTGTTTTGTTTTGTTTTTTGAGACAGGGTTTCTATGTGGCTGTGGAGCCTATCCTGGAACTAGCTCTTGTAGACCAGGCTGGCCTCAAACTCACAGAGATCCGCCTGCCTCTGCCTCCTGAGTACTGGGATTAAAGGCGTGTGCCACCACAGCCTGGCCAAGATTATGTCTTAAAAACTCAAAATAGACGGAAAAAATTCCTATATTGGTTTGGCAAAATTTTGTCATGGCGAATCCTGTCACATTTGGTTGGCCAGAGGGCCTTATCTTTGAAGTTTTCTCTGAGTAAATTTCCATGTAAAAATCTTAACACTACCCCTCAATTATAAATATCCACTTGTCTTTTTGGAGTCAGTTAGGTCCAATCTGTGTCTAAAAGTTAATTTTAAAATCTTTATCATCTTGCATGTTTCACTTTTTGTTTCGTTTTTCAAAACAGTGTTTCTCTACATAGTGCTGACTATCCTAGAACTCACCTGTAGACCAGGCTGCCCTTGAACTCCCAGAGATCCACCCGCCTCTGTCCCCAAGTGCTTTAATCCTGGCACACGTTTCACTCCTTTGGAGCTGGTTTTACTTCTTGGTTGTTCTGCAAAAATTAGATATTCAAGGAAGCTGTCTACTACATTTTGAGGAAAAATAAAACTGATATTCACAAATACATCTTAGAAATTTATTTTGCTGATCATTTTCTTAGCCTTCTAAGAGGTGATACTAACATGGTAGTCAGACGTATATGGCAGTTAACAGAGACTTTAAGAAACAGAACAGTAGACAGAGGAAGGTAGCCTGACACAGGTCTGACAAGCCTACATCTTGGTCAGCCACAGTGAATCCCTAAATATCTGTTCAGAAATTTGTGAGAGGAAGAGGCTGTAAGCATTTCCAACAAGATCTGGAGAGAGAAGCTTTGTGATGTATTTGAAGATCACAGAAGGCAGTTTGACAAGTATTTCCCACATTGAGACCTACCAGCTCCATAGATTTGCTTCAAGTTTTATTTACACATTACCTGTATTAGTGTTTAGTCAATATGTGAGGGTTAAGGGTGTAGTTTTGTGGGAGAGCTCTTGGCTAACACTGCTGCCCTTGACATCATGGCAATCCTCCTGTGGTCAGCCTCCCAGGTGCTAAGATTACAGGCATGAGCCAGCACACCAGCTATATTCTGTACACACTGGTTATTCTTAAGTTGCCCAGGCTAGCCTAGTCTACTGAGCCCGTGAGCCTTCTGCCTGAGCTAGAACTACTAGTACCACACTAGTCTGTAAAAATGGAGGTGAATTTACTTACTCATGAGCTCTTTTTCCTTCTCTGTGTGGGCTAGGCGTGGAAACTCGGGGCCTTGCGCCTGCTGGGCACATACTCTCCCACTGAATCACACCCTGCCCACTGACTCGTCAGTTAAGTACTGGCTGGAGCAAGGCTGACTTGATTAGCCCAGGAGTGACTGTTACTCACACAGTTTAGAGAATGTGTCAGTTCCATGAGGGCTTTGTTCCTTACTTTGAGGAACTGATATTCTAAGGCAACTTATTTTTTCAGCTCCCCCTACTTCTTTAAATGAGAAATCAAAAGCTATAAAATCCACCCTTTTGAAGGGAACTGATTCTCACAGGCTTTGATGTTTACAGTAGGAAAGACTGGAAAAGGTGCTACACTCATCTAGAATGGCTTTTACTATTTTTATTCATATTTTGCCCTTTCTTGGAGAAATTAAGGCAATAATACATTAGCATTAATAAAATTGGAACACAGACAGTTATTCTAATATAAGGAATGTTAGCTGAACCTTGTGGTGATGTTTCATTTGTATTTTAATAAATAAAGCTTGCCTGAAGATCAGAGAGTAAAACAGCCCCACTGGTCAGCCTTACAGATGAGGCAGTGGTGATACACACCTTTAATCCCAGTAGCCACACTAGTTTGCCAAACCGGCCCTAGAGAGGAATAAGGTGGGAGAAGAGAGCTCTCACACACAGTCCCATTCTGAGATTCCTAGAGGCAGGATCGCCATTTCAGACTGAGGTAGAGAGCTAAGAGTCAGTGGCTGGCTGTTTTGCTTTTCTGACCTTCAGGTTGAACCCCAATTTCTGTCTCTGGGTTTTTATTAGTCCTGCTACAGGACCTGGTTGTACATCTAGTACTGATAAGGCCAAGGCGGAATATCTAGAATTTCAGGCTAGCCTGTTGTACATAGCAAGACCCCGTCTCAAAAGACCAAAGAGGTAGGCATAGTGGTATATGCCTAAAACATCAGACCTTTGGGTTAGAGGCACGTGTACCTGGAAGGAGGGCAAGGCCATCCTCAGCTACTTAGCAAGTTCAGGGCCAGACAGGGCTATAAGAGACCCTGTCTCCAAAAATGGAAGGCAGGAAGAAAGGAATGGAGGAAGGATCCAAAGAGGGAGGAAAAGGAGTGTGACATGTGTACAAGTTCTTCATTATGGGGAAGACGGAGTCTTCCTTTTTCTCTCAGATTAGCTTCCTCCAACTGCTGAGGAGCTGCCATTGTAGTTGTACTCAGCTTTAGAATTTTCTCAGCAACAAAACAAAAAAATCAACTCTTGCTTCCCATGATGCCTCACCAAGGGAGCTTCCTTTGGCCAAATCTTCACTGTTAGCTCAGTCTCCTATCTCAAAACCAGCAGTAGCTTAGTTGGAGCAACTTACAGCCCTGCATGTGACCCCAGAGGAGGCTAAAGAAGTCAAGAAAGCCTGCTTTTATTTTGGCTTTTTTTCAGTTTTGCCTCCTGTTTGATTTGCTCTTAGGTCCTTGTGTGCCAGGAGAGGGTGTGTGTAGGGCACCTGGCTAGTTCACTCTACAGCTCCACAGCTCCACTCTCCACAGCCTGGAAAGTTACTTCGTTTACATTGTGAGCTTTCCCCACATCCCATCTCAACACTTTAAACTCTCACTTTTTACTGCCTCTAGTGCCAGTAACTCCCTGTATAACTTTAGTGAGTGCTTTAAGCTTTTTAGACAGCTGTTGTTCCAATTTTACATCTTTCCGGAGTGCTAGGGATCAGATCCCAAGGGTCTCAGGCTAGGTAAACCATCAGTCCCCACAATTTTACTTCTTTTCGGAGTGCTAGGGATCAGATCCCAAGGGTCTCAGGCACCATCAGTCCCCACAATTTTACTTCTTTTCGGAGTGCTAGGGATCAGATCCCAAGGGTCTCAGGCTAGGTAAACCATCAGTCCCCACAATTTTACTTCTTTTCGGAGTGCTAGGGATCAGATCCCAAGGGTCTCAGGCTAGGTAAAACATCAGTCCCCAGCTCCACATTTGGAAGTAAGGGTCCAAGCTTAGAGGACTATAAAATCCTCATGGGGTTTCCTGCCTTAGCTTTCCCAAGCAGCTGTCATTTCAATATTTCCTCAGGTTCTCAGCCCCCCTCCCCCCATAAACAGCCCTCTCCATGGGCACACAGTTTTTCTCTCACCAGTTTCTCATCTTCAGAGACCTCAATTCAAATTCACAAAAAGGCAGAAATTTCAAGTTTATCAATACGTCCATTGTCAAAACACACAACCAAAGATCTTTCTAGGTCCAATGCAGAGGACACAGGTAAGGGAACAAAGTCACGCACTCAAAAGAATAAGAAAACAACTTCTGGAGCTGGAGGATGGATCACCTGTTGTTCTTCAAGAGGACCCAGATTCAAACCCCAGCACCCAATGTGGTTCACAACCGTCCATAACGCTAGTTCCAGAGGATCTGATGCCCTCTTGTAGCCTCAGCAGATAACAGCCATGCATGTGTGGTACAAAGACATACATGTAGCCAAAAGCCCACACACATAAAATAAATTTTGTTCTGTTTTTTGAAACAGGGTTTCTCTGTGTAGCCCTGGCTGTCCTGGAACTCAGAGAACTGCCTCTGCTTCCCAGTCTTGGGATTAAAGGCATAAGCTACCACCTCATGGCAAATAAATAAATCTTCAAATAAAGAGAAAAAACTGGGGGGGGGGGAGGGAGGGAGGGAAATGGGAGGAGGTGGAATTTTTTAAGTAAAAATAAAAATAAAAAAAGAAAAACCGTCTAGTTGTTGGCTAACTATTTGCCTTGAACATTATTTTGAAAATGTATGGTTTTATCATGAATTTTATCTGAAGTCAGAAGCCAAGTTCAAATCCTAGCTTTCTCCTTAACCAGCTCAATGACCCTGAACAAGTGAGTCCTGAGTCTCAAGTTTCTTTGCACCTGAAGCGGAAGAGCCTAAAGAGTTGTCAGGGATTAAAAATGAGTGTATGAAGTACCCAATACAGCCCAGAACACAAGTTCAACTGTAGTAAACCATGTGTAAGAGTCCCTATTTGTACTCTTTTCCTGTCAAGTCTATGCTGCCCTCTGCGTTTCACTTTTTGCCTCATAAGCAGTCACATGCTTACCCAATGCAGTTGTCAAATAAAAGAACTAGAGGGCAGACATGAACCCATCGGACTTGTGGAAGGAACCGAACCGGCCAACACCAGTTCAAAGGGATAATTTCACGGCTAGTTTTATGTTCCAGAATGTGGGATGAGATGCACCTCAGGAAAATCCCCAGTGCCTTGGAGTGTTGTGGCTGACCTGCTTTGCCCCATGTCCTACTTATCTGGCTTGACAAAGAGATGGGTAGACACCTTCAGCTTGGGAAGAACCTTCATTCTGCCACCCTGTAGTAATGATGGGATGCCTCCAACTTCCTCTGTAGCCATCTAACAGTAGTAAGCGCAGGCCTGGCATCAGTTCATGCTCAGATGTTAATTTTTGGGACCAAGTACAAAATCTTTGGGTGCTACTCCACCACCACTGCTCTGTCTCTCTGTTGTCTGGGAGCCAGAGAGGGGATGCGCCCCAAGATTGGAGCTGGCCTCTGGGTCTGGTTTGCTGCGTTTGGCCAGGTCCTCATTATGAGCCTTGCGGATGTGGCGGTAGAGATCCCCTGACTGTGTGTAGCTGCGTAGGCAATAGCGGCATTCATAGGGTCGCTCTCGTGTATGCACTGTGGCATGTCTCCGTAATGTATAAGAACATGAGAAGGTCTTTCCACATGTCTTACAGGTGGGAACATCCTCTGTAAAACCCCCAAAGCTCCCTGGAGCTACTTCATACTCAGAAGGAGGGTAGAGTGGCTCATGCAGGGCTGGTGGTGCAGGCAGGGGTGAGGTCACCAGTCCCCGATGATACTGCCCAGGACCAGGCAGCAGATGGTATGGAAGATGAGATTCTGGAGGCAGGAAGTGGTCACCTGGCCCCACCTCCTCTAGTCCTGTTGCCCCTGGCTCCTCAAAAGTGTCTGGCTGTGAAGACTGTCCCCCATATATTGCACCTCCAGATGTGAACAGCCCTTCAGGTCCCTGAGGCTGTTCCTCGGACAAGTCAGTCTCCTCATCAGAGATCACAATAGCTTCTACTTTCACCTGCACCAGTTCAGCTTCAACTGGGGCTGGAGCCTGGGACAGAACTGGGGCTGGAGCTGGGGGTGGGGCTGGAGCTGGAGTGTAGAAGCCTTGCAATGGTCCTCCAGTATCCCTTGGTTCCACCACCCTCAGACTCTCAGGAACCACATCTAGAGGAGTCAAGGGCTCCACGGAAACTGCTGGAAGGCCAGAAGAGAAGTAGTTTACAGGAATGGTCTCTGTAGAGCTACTGGGGCTGGCAAGAGAGACAGAGACATCAGCCACTTGTGGGGGAGGTGCCCGCAGATGTGGTGGGTCGACTTCCATGCTTGGTTGTGTAGTGTCAGCGCCACCGGACACTGGTGGCTCATCTGCAGAATGAGCAATAGGTAAGGGAGTGGCTGGACCCTTCCATTCCTCTTTGCTCCAGCGGGCTGACGGCTCAATAGATGCCAGTAAAGGCTGGGGGCCACGAGAACTGCCTGACAAAAACTCCATACTAGCAGGATTGCTTTCCTCTTCCTTCTTGGTACTGTCTGCCTCCGCCAGAGCCCGGGCTTGCAAGCGCTGTTTACACACCTTAACGATGTCATTCATGTGCAGGTAGCTGGCTGCGGCCAGCACATCTTCTAGAGGGGTATCTCCCCGAAGGGCCAGCTGGCCAGCATACATGAAGTCCAGAAGCAACCCAAAGGCTGGGGCCGTGACAATTTCATTGTGAATACACACCAGATCCCTCTTGTCCAATTCTCGCTCCTTGTAGAAAAGCTGAAAGAATGGGCTGCAGGAAGCCAGCACAGCCCGATGGGCCAGGAACTGGGTGCTACCAACCATCACAGTACAGTCACAAAGGAAACCCTGGGACCGCTGCTCCCGCAGGCTCTGAAGCAGCTGCTGACTGTGTTCTGGGAACTCCATAGCACCCCAAGAAGGGGAAGGGTGCCCAAGAAAGTTCCCCAACAGTAGTTCCCTGCAAAGATAAGTCTGAGTTAGGTCAGGTAATTTCCACAGCAACCTCCACTTCAGCCCTTAACTAGGGCTTACTACCCAAGGCCTCTGGCAACACATCCCACACCCCCAACCATGTTTCAGTTAACTGCCTATCTTTCTCCCAGGTCACACCCAAAGACCTGTTGGCTCCGCCCCCTAAGCCCAACCTTAAGGATCGTCCCCGCCCCTATTCAAAAAAGCCCTGCCCCCGGAAGTCCCGCCCCTAACTAGCCTCTGCTTCCTCGGTCCCAGACGGTGCCTTCCAGTGACTCCTTCAACTAGGACTGTCTTTCGCGCCCAAGCTTTCCAGGGCGATGCCTTCACGCCCTGGTTCTGGAACTTCCTGCGCTTCTTCCTCTCACATTCCAAGGATGAGGACTCCGAGCGTAGGAACTAGCAGAGAAAGATGAGCCCTCATCCACAACCTAGCAGCCACCAGGAAAGCTCCGCCCCTTCCCACCTTCGCTGTCCTAATTGGCTTCAGCTCGCCCTCTCCCATCGTGGATTGGCTCACCGTCTACTACCCCGCCCCTCGGTAACCGGCTTCTCCGAATGGGTAGTATCTGCCATCGTTCAGGCATCAAGGCTCCCGATTGGTTGTTGCTCCCGTCCTAAACTTTTTCTTCCTCATCCCGCCTTCTTTGCCCCAGACCTCTCAGGATTGGCTGAATTTCTTCACTTACCTGTTTTCCGTAGGGAGATTACGCGCCTTGGATGGGGCATGAAGTTAGCATCTGCGCAGTGTGTCTGGGAGTAAATAGCGCGTTCCTGCGGCAGAGTTCTTAGGAGACACAGTGTGTAATGTGTAGGCTCTGCCGAAAACAGTGCGCAGTAAGCCACACTTCTCAAAAGTGCAGTTCACTCTTGTGAACTTCCTCAAAAATTCCGGCATGCCCTACTTAGTTCCAGGCTCAGCGGTGGTGTCAGAGAATGACCACTTCCCAAGCGCCAGTGGACAGGAGTGGGATAGAGTTTAAAAATGTCTTGGTTGTTAGAAATCTCTTCTCAACAGTTCCAATGGTAAACCAAGGTACTAGACCACCAAAGCTCACCTTTGGGCTCCAGTGAATTTATTGGATTTACAGAGCATAGGTAAGGGGTTACAAGAGAATGAGTGAGTCACCCTAGAAGGCCCCACTGGAAAGTGTTTACCTAGCATAAATGATAACTTTCCTTACTGTCGCGTCCACCCTCGACCCGCAAGGAAAAACGCACACCCGGAGCTCTTCTTGCAGCAGTTTTCAGGACTTTATTCACAGTAACCTTTCTCCTTCTCCTTCTCTTTCCCTCTCTTTACCCTTTCTCTGGGCAAACCTCTCCCAGCCCTTAAGTAGGCATGGGCTGCCAATCCCGAACTGCCAGGTAGGCACTGCCCATAGGTTCACGCATATGCAGGCAGCTGATAATCACTGCGTGATCATAGCATAGGTCAGGCCTTAGCCATCTCAGGAGTTGATTATACATCTCCGTCAGGTGTGACACCACGCAGCTCTCTACAATTCCCCCTTTTGTAAAGCTACAGGCAAGAGTAGAGGTCTGATCTCTGTTAAAAATGAAACATGTACTAGTGTCTGTCCAGGTGTTATCCACTCAGAGAACACTAGACCTGTCCGGTGTCCTTTTACAGAGGTGGGAGTTAGACACCAACCCACATGCAATCAGACTTGCTCTTCTTGAGGTTGATGTACGCTTACCTCAAGTGCAGTGCGCAAGCCTGGCATCCTGTGCTCACTTATAACCAAGCTTGTGGGGACTGTCCTGCTTCAATAGCCGTGAAGGCCTGAATGATCATAACTGCACTGCGATGCTGTGAAACCCTTATGTGACAAATGCGCCCCAGGCATACCAGGGAGGCAAGCACCATTAAGCCTTGTTAGGGCTCCTACTCCCACCCACTCCTTCAGATGATCCCCACGGCTATGATGATCCAGGTCATGGCGAACTGGCATCAGCTTAGGAAAGGCTGACAGAATCCCCCACCGCAGCTTCGCCATCACTTTCTCCGTTGAGTGGGTGAGGAACAGGCACAGGATCCCCAGACATATCCGTAACATCCTTTTCTGTCTCCGTCTGCACTTGCACCTTCCTCACCAGGCGTTCTGGCACCCAGATAGGGTCCAAATGATCCTGTGCACCTCGTGCCCATGCCAGCACGGGATCGGGTCCATGCCAGACCCCTGTTAAAGCATCCTTCCAGGTCATCATTCCTTTTGAAGGACTGGACGGACATGAATGCCTGTCTGCGGCAGACTGAATGGAATTATCTAAGTTCAAAAAATTTAAAGTAAATAAGGCTAAAGAAAGTCTATTCTTAGGAGGTTGCTTATGGCCTATTCCCCCTTTTTGTTTTTGAAGTATCTCCTTTAGAGATCGATGGGCACGTTCCACGATGCCTTGTCCTTGTGGATTGTAGGCAGTCCATGTGTCAATTGAACACCCATACGTTGACAAAATGAGGTGAATTTTTGTCCAGTATAAGCAGGACCATTATCAGTCTTTAATCGTTGAGGCTTGCCCCAGGCTGCCCATGCTTCTAGACAATGAGCCTGTCCTGGAACTAGCTCTTGTAGACCAGGCTGGTCTCGAACTCACAGAGATCCACCTGCCTCTGCCTCCCTAGTGCTGGGATTAAAGGCGTGCACCACCACCGCCCGGCAACTTTTAAGGGATGATCTGTTTCTCACAAACTCTTACTCCTAAATAATTAACAATTTTATCCTTTTGTACCTTTTCAGGAGCTACATGTAACCCTCTCCTTTCAAGTAGCTTAATAAGCTCCACATAGGCCTGATCTAACATTCGTTCATTCTTGGCAGCCAGCAATATATCTTCCATATAATGAACACATCTTTGAGTGGGAAATTTTTCTCTTAGGGGTGTAATAGTCTCCCCTACATACAGCTGACACATTGTAGCACTATTGGCCATTCCCTGTGGCAAGACAACCCACTCATATCTTTTGTCTGGTTCTTCATGATTAAGAGATGGAACTGTAAAGGCAAATCTCTCGCTGTCTTTATCAAACAAAGGAATGGAGAAAAAACAATCTTTTATATCTATTACAATAATAGGCCAGGAGGCAGGCAAAGAGGATAGTAATGGCAACCCGCGTTGCACTGGTCCCATGATTTGCAGCTCGCAAATCGTGTAATAGGCGCCACTTTCCCGATTTTTTCCTGATTACAAAGATAGGTGTGTTCCAGGGGGAAATGAATGGTTTAATATGGCCTAGAGTTAACTGTTCCATTATTAAATCATTGGCAGCTATGAGCTTCTCAGAGGAAAGAGGCCACTGAGGAACCCACACTGGCTCCTCTGTTTTCCAAATAATGGGAATTCCTTCCCCAGCGGCCCCTAAGAAAAACCCATCCCTTGTCTGGATTTTCTTAGTTCTGCCACTATCGGATCTTTCCGTCCTTGTAAATACCTTCCCAATCCAAAATTCGGATGGCAGCCCATATTTTCATAATGGTTTGAGCTTTTTCTGAGTATTCGTTACTTAATTTAAAATCCATAGATTTCATGAGCTCTCTTCCCCATAATGATACTGGAAGTTCAAGAACATAAGGTTGAATTACTCTGGAGTGGCCCTCTGTATCCTGCCAATTTAATAAATTAGCACTAATATTAGGGGCACCTGCATATCCTAATCCTTGTAAGGTGTGTGATGAGGTCTGTATAGGCCATCCTCGTGGCCAATCTTTACTAGCTATGATACTTTTATCCGCCCCTGTATCCAAAAGGCCTGTGATCTTGACTCCATTAACAGTTAATTGTAAAATAGGCCTTTGGTCCAAATCCAAGGATAAGGATGTTAAGTCTGTACCTGATGAACTAAATCCCTTATCTCCTCTTTCACTGTCTTTAGCTGGATGTTTGTCACGTAGACTAGGCAAAATAACAAATTGAGCTATCCTATCACCTGGGGAAATCGCAGTAATGCCTTTAGGTGACTCAACCATGATTTTAACAATGCCTGTATAGTCTGGATCAATTATCCCTGGGTGAACTCGTAAGCCTCTTAAGGTGGTAGATGATCTCCCTATCAATAGACCCACCGTGCCAGGCTGAAGGGGACCCTGAAAGTCAGAGTCTACAGTTTGGACCCCCATTTGAGGTGTCAATACAAGTCTGGTGGTGGCACGAACGTCCAATCCTGCTGAACCTGCAGTAGCTCTCCGCGGTCCTTGGGATGTCTGAAGGTTGGCCACTGCTCGTGACTCCCTTCTCTGCTCTGATCCTCCATTGCCCCATATATTTGTGGGCCCTGAGGCTGGGGGCCCCACTGTCCATTTTTTGGCACAGTAACATTTACTAGAGGTTGTCCATTAATATCTTTTAAACCTACACCCAATCGCCCAATGCCTTCCTTTTCTCCATCTGGGGCATAGTCCTGGAATTGGGCGTTGACCATTTCCAGCTTCCTGGGCATGTCCCTGCTGAGTGCTTCCTCCTTGAGGGCAGTTACGCCTTATATGGCCTGCCTTGCCACAACGAAAACAAGTTCCTGCATTACCCCCATTTTTACTTAGCCTAAGTACAGCAGCAGCTAGCCCAGAACTGGTTAACGGACCTGCTAACTCTCAACATGCTCTCATCCAATATTCCAACCCTCTGTTCTTGTAAGGAGTGATAGCTGCCCTGCATTCTTTAGTACGTTGTTCATATGCTAACTGCTTGACTAACGGCATAGCGGTGTCAGGATCACCGAATATCTTTCCTGCCGTTTCCACCAGTCTAGCCACAAAATCAGAAAAAGGCTCTGTAGGTCCTTGAATAAACTTTGTCAAATTACCTCTTACTTCCCCTCTATTGGGTAAAGACTTCCAGGCTCGAGTAGCAAGATTGTTAATTTGCTCATACACCTGAGGTGGATATCCATTTTGCTGATTGGCAAAGCTACCTTGTCCGAGTAGCCTGTCCGTATCCCAGGCTGCTTGAGCTCCCCCAGCTGCTAAATTTATCGCAGCCTGGCCATTGGCAAATTCAATTAAAAAAGCTTTCCAATCCAAATATTGACCAGGGGATAAGCAAGCCTCTGCAAGATTCATCCCATCAGCTGGAGTCATAGCGTATCTATGTAAAGCTTCCACCTGAGCCACTGTAAAAGAAGCTGAAACGCCATAGGTTCGGACAGACTCTGCCAATGTTTTAATAACTTTGAAATCTAAGGGCTCATGGTATCTGTTGCCTTGCTGATCATGAAACACTGGAAAAGCAGTCATCATTCTATCTCCTTTCTGAGTCATCATTTCCGCTCTGACTTCCTTCCATACTCCAGGACTGAAAGAAGTCCCTCCTTCTGCTCCCATGACCCCAGGATACTGAGGGGGGGGGGCGAAGGAGTTACACTCCTTCCTATACTTTCAAGTTGTTTTTGCTTCTGTTCCTCCCTTTCTTTCCTCTTGATCTTACGGATAGATTCTAGGTGGACTACATAAAAGCCCTCCTCTTCCTCCTCCTCCTCCTCCTCCTCCTCCTCCTCCTCCTCCTCCTCCTCCTCCTCCTCATCAGATTCTGAGTGAGTGGAAATATTCGACTCCTCCAGTTCTGACAGATTAGTATGTAAACCTGTTTTTCTTTTTCCTCGTTCCTTTACCTGACCCAGCGTCAAACATAACTTTTTTAGAGGCTGCTCTCTCAGATCTCTCCTCCTGTTGAATCTCTAAGGCAGCCTGGCTATTCTCTATTGCTTCATTATGCCTTTGGTCTTTCAAGCAACGCCACAGTAGCTTCCAAACTGACCTGACTCCTTTAAGAGCTAAAAAAATTGGATGTGAAGGTGAAGTGCCCATCAGAAACAAATATTAAATTCTTACAATTTTACTTTTAATCCGTCCACTATTGTCGTGGTTCTACCTTGTTCTCCCTTTTCTATTGGTGAGAACAAAAAACCAGCCTTATCTGAGGACTGTCGGTGCACCCCCTGACTGCAGCAAGTTCTGGGCTCCACAGAGAGAGGTTTGGAGGTTCCCCATACGAGGCCACCAATTGTCACGTCCACCCTCGACCCGCAAGGAAAAACACAACACCCGGAGCTCTTCACAGCAGTTTTCAGGACTTTATTCACAGTAATCTTTCTCCTTCTCCTTCTCTCTCTCTTTTTTTTTTAAAAATATTTATTTATTTATTATGTATACAATATTCTGTCTGTATGCCTGAGGGCCAGAAGAGGGCACCAGACCTCCTTCCAGATGGTTGTGAGCCACCATGTGGTTGCTGGGAATTGAGCTCAGGACCTTTGGAAGAGCAGGCAATGCTCTTAACCACTGAGCCATATCTCCAGCCCCCTTCTCCTTCTCTCTTTCCCTCTCTTTACCCTCTCTCTCTGGGCAAACCTCTCCCAGACCTTAAGTAGGCATGGGCTGCCAACCCTGAACTGCCAGGTGGGCACTGTCCATAGGTTCACGCATATGCAGGCAGCTGATAATCATTGCGTGATCATAGCATAGGTCAGGCCTTAGCCATCTCAGGAGTTGATTATACATCTCCATCAGGTGTGACACCACGCAGCTCGCTACAACTTACAGCCTCATAGACAGAGCCCCCTCCCCAGTCATCCTACACCTATATATTTTAGCGCCTCTTGGAGATTCTGGGCCCTGTGCAATTAGGGAAGAATTGTATACAACTGGTTGAGGGGAGTAGCTGGATACTCAGGTGAGGTCCCATGACTGTCCACAACTCCTCCTATAAGGGAAAGTCAATAGTCAGCAAGCCCAACTGAGATGATCTGCCTGCAGACCTAGCCAAGAGTCCTGAAGAGGATGACAGTTTGGCTGAGGATAGTCCTGTATGGGCATATAATCCACATGCTATGGTGCACGTCTGCTATACCAGCATCCGAGGCCAGGCAGTGGTGGCACACGCCTTTAATCCCAGCACTTGGGAGGCAGAGGCAGGCAGATCTCTGTGAGTTCGAGACCAGCCTGGTCTACAAGAGCTAGTTCCAGGACAGGCTCCAAAGCTACAGAGAAACCCTGTCTCGAAAAAAAAAAAAAGAAAAGAAGACAGCATCCAATCTTCAAGGCCTAAACTACATAGTTCCAGGACTGCCTGGACGACATAAAATTCAGGTGTAGATGGTATGCACTTTTAATCCCAGCACTTGGGAAGCAGAGGCTGTGAGTTAAAAGCCAGCCTGGTCAATATAGTGACTTCCAGGCAGGCCTGAGCTGCACAGTGAGCCCCTCAAAAAAAAAATAGTCCCAAGACTGGAGGGTTTTCTTCCTCCCTTCCTGCCTTCCTTCCTTCCTTCCTTCCTTCCTTCCTTCCTTTCTGCCTGCCTTTTTTCTTTCTCTCTCTCTCTTTTTCTTTTTCTTTCTTTTTTTTTTTTTTTTTTTTTTTTTTTTTTTGAGACACGGTTTCTCTGTAGCTTTGGAGCCTGTTCTGGAACTAGCTCTTGTAGACCAGGCTGGTCTCGAACTCATAGAGATCCGCCTGCCTCTGCCTCCGGAGTGCTGGGATTAGAGGCGTGCACCACCACTGCCTGGCTTCTCTCTTTCTTTTGTGGTTTTCTTCCTTCCTTCCTTCCTTCCTTCCTTCCTTCCTTCCTTCCTTCCTTTCCTCCCTCTCTCTTTTTTTTTCTTTTTCAGTGTAGCTACTTTTGTGATTGAAAAGGATGTGCTCATGTAGCCCAAATTGACTCGGGACTTGGTGTGCCGGTACCTCACCTGATGGAACTGTAGGCAGGTACTGTCACAGCTGTCAAAGATGGCTACTACTGAAGAACTCTCCCCACACACACACACAACTTTTTTCCTTTTTTTTTTTTTAAGACAGGGCCTCACTTAGCACTGACTGTCCTCATATGTGATATTGTAGCCAAGATCTGCACTCCTAATCTTTCTACTTTCCAAATCTGGGATTACAGGTGTTCACCACCACAAAGAACTTGAATAAAATTTTAAGAGTCCCAAGATTCGCAGAGGGAAGGGCTGTAGAGTAGAATGATTCCTATCCCTATTGCACAAGGTTTTCAGGAGTGTGTCAGGATCCTGTCACTCTACACCAAGCACCCCTTAGTGACATGTAGTCCCAGGCCTTTAGAAGCAAAGACAGGAGAATGGTCAAAAGCTGAGGGCAAGCCTAGTTTATAAAGCAAACCAGCTGGGCGGTGGTGGCCTTTAATCCCAGCACTCAGGAGGCAGAGGCAGAAGGATCCCTGTGAGTTCAAGACCAGTCTGGTCTACAGAGCAAGTTCCAGGACGTCCAAGGCTATACTGAGAAATCCTGTCTCAAAAAACCAGCAAGAAACAAACAAAGCAAATCTCAGGCCACCCATGGCTACATAATAATACCCTCTCCCTCAAAAAGAAAGACAGTAACTCCAAGGCATGCCTACTGTCCTAGAACTCAAAGATCCATCTTTTTCTGCTTCTTGAATGCTGGGATTAAAGATGTGGACCACCAACACCCTGAGAGTAATCTTAATCTCTCACTTTTGCTTTTTCTCTTGCTAGGAATTGAACACAGGGTCTCCCTCCATTGCTCATACAAAACATGCCCTCTGCCACTGGTGTGTAGCAGTTTCTTCTTAGGAAACATTCTGCCTTGGAGAGAGGTTCGTTGAGGCTTAGGCTGGCAAAAATAGAACTCCTCAACCTGTGGGTCGGGAGCCCTGTGGGCACAAATGACTCTCTCATAGAAGCTACATGACAGATATCTTTTTCTTTAAAGTTGGGTTCCTGCTTGTGTGTGTAGTGCTGAGTTTCTCACAGGTGACTTTACTTTTTTATTTTTGGTTTTTCAAGACAGGATTTCTCTGTGTTGCAGTTCTGGCTATCCTGGAACTCACTTTGTAGACCAGGCTGGCCTTGAACTCACTTAGATCCACCTGCTGTAACCTTATTTGATTTGTACTTGGTTCCTTACCTGGGCAAAAGTAGATGTTTGTTCATAACTCCCCTGAAATAATGTCTTACAACAGTCACCGAGCTACAGTTGCAAAGCCACAATACCTTTTGTTTATTTGTTTGTTTTGGTTTTTCGTGACAGGGTTTCTCTGTGTAGCCCTGTCTGTCTTTGAATTTAATATGTAGGCCAGGCTGACCTCAACTCAAGAGATCTGCCTGTTTCTGCCTCCTGAGTGCTGGGTTTAAAACCCTTGCACCACTATACCTGCTAACACCTTTTATGTTTTTATAGAAAGTAAATATATTTGTCCACACCAAGAAAAGTGTAGTGCAAATAAATGACATTGACATTGCATTTTTGCAAATTTTCTTTTCTTTTCTTTTCTTTCTTTTTTTTGGTTTTCGAGACAGGGTTTCTCTGTGGCTTTGGAGCCTGTCCTGGAACTAGCTCTAGCTCTGTAGACCAGGCTGGTCTCGAACTCACAGAGATCCGCCTGCCTCTGCTTCCCAAGTGCTGGGATTAAAGACGGGCACCACCATTGCCCAGCTGCAAATTTTCTTAATATCTGTCATAAAAGCTAGGCATCATGGCATGTGCTTTTAAGCTCAGCACTCAGGAAGCAGAGGTAGGCAGATTGCCGAGTTCAAGCCCAGCATGGTCCAGACCAGTCAGGGCTAGGATAGAGACCCTGTCTCAAACAAACAAACAACAAAAAGATAGCTAGATTCTTACATCTGTTTCTGAGCTATTATGGATTATTGTTTGGACTGGAGCATGTACAGAAAACCCGATCTCACAGATAGGCAGCTGGAAGAGGAGTCCCCAAGATCATGAATGTTTCTTCCCCACACCACACTTGGAGAGCTGTTCTAAGCTCTGAGATTCCATCTACGCTTTTCAGAGGAGACATGATGGTCTGCTAATGTTCTGGATTTTTTGGTCAGATTAAATCTGAAGTAGAATATATATTAATCAAGAACACAGCTTTGGAACAGATCAGTTGTTCATAATCTGAACACTCAATCCGGTGTACAAAGCAGGTTCCAGGATAATGAGTTGTTACACAGAGAAACTCCTATCTCACCACAAACAAGGAAATAAGGTAGTCTTCAAATATTTGCTCAACGAATGTGTTTTGCCTTTTTTTTTTGGTAGGGTTTTTTTCTTTTTCTTTTTCTTTTTTTTTTTTATTTTTGAGACAGGGTTTCTCCGTAGCTTTTTGGTTCCTGTCCTGGAATTAGCTCTTGTAGACCAGGCTGGTCTCGAACTCACAGAGATCCGCCTGCCTCTGCCTCCCGAGTGCTGGGATTAAAGGCTTGCACCACCACTGCCCGGCTTACCTTTTGCTTTTCTATGCACTTTGTTTCAGCTTTCTTTAACAATTAACTCTTTTGCCGGGCGATGGTGGCGCATGCCTTTAATCTCAGCACTTGGGAGGCAGAGGCAGGCGGATCTCTGGGAGTTCGAGATCACCCTGGTCTACAGAGCTAGTTCCAGGACAGGCTCCAAAGCCACAGAGAAACCCTGTCTCGAAAACAAAACAAAACAAAAAACAACAACAAAATACCAATTAACTCTTCTTTAGTTTTTGTTTTATGAGACAGGGTTTACACACACAGCCCTGGTTTTCCTAGAACTCACTATGTAACACTAGGGTAGCCTCGAACTCACAGAGATATGTCTGCCTCTGCTGGGTTTAAGGGGGTGCGGCATCAAGCCAGGCCTATAGTAAACTATCTTTTTGTTTGGTTAGTTTGGTTTGATTTTTCGGTAGAGTTTCTCTGTGTAGTCCTAGCTGTCTTGGAACTTGCTTTAAGTAAGTGGGAAGTCTGAGCGCCAAATGAGCAGGCTTGAGGGGCGGGGCTTCGTGGATCCGCCCATGACGTTAGGCTTCATCAGCACCGCGGAAGTGGCTGGGACACATCTGCAAGTGTTTCCGGTGAGGCTGCTGCCTGCCGAGTTCGCGGCTCTGAGCTCCAAACTTCTGCAGAAAATGTTTTATCACGTGAGTCGGACGCGGGGTGGCGGCGAGGGCCGGGGCAGGAGGAGCCAGGAAACCGGGAAGGGCTGACTAGTTTCCCCTTATTCTCAATGCGGCTGACTGAATCTCCATCCCACTTTGTCTGCAGATTTCCCTAGAGCACGAGATTCTGCTGCACCCACGCTACTTCGGTCCCAACTTACTTAACACGGTGAAGCAGAAGCTTTTCACCGAGGTGGAGGGGACCTGCACTGGGAAGTAAGTCTCGCTCTCGCCCGTGGTCTGCTGGAGGCACGCACAATGACCCTAGCATGGAACCCCTACCCAACTTCTTCTCAACGGGCTTGTCACTCATTCTGAGGAGCCCTTTCACCCATCCAGGCACCCGTGGCAGCCAGTTTTTGCCTGCTTTGGGCCCTCTGCAGAGTTGGGTAACCAAATTTCCAGCTCTTATGTGAGCTCAGTTATGCAAATGTTTTTGGCTTTTGAGGTAGCGTCACTGTGTAGACCAGGCTGGCCTCCGACTCTGAGATCTGCCTGCCTCTCAGTGCTGGAATTAGAGGCTTGTGTCATTGCCACAGCTCGTTTGTATTTATTTGTTATGTAGTGTTTTGCCTGCATGCCAGAAAAGGGCACCAGATCTCATTGTAGATGGCTGTGAACCACCACATGGTTGCTGGGAATTGAACTCTGAAGAGCTGAACTCTTAACTGCTGAGCCATCTCTCCAGTCCATCCCTGTTTGTAGTTTTTTGAAACATCTGTCTCAGTCTCACCATGTTGTCTCAGCCTGGCCTCCGACCCTGACCAATTAATTCTGCCTCAGTGCTGAGATAATAGGGATATGTCAGCCTTCTTGAGCATTTATTGTACAAATATGAGAGCATCATTTGCTCTTACAGATACTGATCGGTGGGCCTGGCTTTTTCTTGGTCATTGAGCTTCCAGAGCAGAAGCTCCATCACACATACACAGACACACACAGACTCATGTTGCTGATGGATTGTTAGAGGATCTTCACATACAGTAGCTGTGTTGTTTCATCCTTCTTGCAGGTATGGTTTTGTCATTGCTGTCACCACCATCGACAATATTGGTGCTGGTGTGATCCAGCCAGGACGAGGTTTTGTTCTTTATCCAGTTAAGTACAAGGCTATTGTTTTCCGGCCTTTTAAAGGTGAGGTGGTGGATGCTGTGGTCACTCAGGTCAACAAGGTAAGAGCATTCATAGGTTGTGGGTAGTCACTTACTGATTATCTTAAATTTTTTGTTGTTATTAAGGTTTTTTTTTTTTTTTTTTTTTTGAGATAGGGTTTCTCTGTAGCTTTAGTTTCTGTCCTGGAACTAGCTCTTCCAGTGCCGGCTGGCCTTGAACTCACAGAGTGAGTGCTGGGCTTAAAGGTGTGTGCTACCACTGGCTGGCATTGTTATTAAGATTCATTTGTTTATTGAGGCAGGGCTTTTCTATAGCCTTGGCTGTCCTGCAACTCACTTTGTAGACCAGGCTGGCCTTGAACTCAGCAATCTGCCTGCCTCTGCCTCTGCAGATTTTAATCCACCCGACGTGGGCTCTAGAGTTGGGACTCTATCTCAGACAAAGTGGGAATCTGGGATATTGTTCAATGGGTAAAGTGCTTCCTGTGCAAGCATGAGGACTTGAGTTCTGATCCCTGGTACCATGGTAAAATTCAGTCTTAGTAACATAAGCCTGTAATCCTCCCTATTTGGGATCACAAATTCAAGGCCTGCTCGGGCTATATAAGGATTATAGCTTAGTGGTTTAGAACACTAGTTGCTCTTCTAGAAGACCTGGGTTTGATTTCCACCACCCACATTATGGCTCACAATCTTCTGTAACTCCAATTTCACAGGATCCAACAACCTTTTCTCCCCTTCATGGGCACTGCAAGCAGGCAGAATATTCACACACATAAAAGTAATGAAAAAAGCTGGGTGGTGGTGGCACATGCCTTTAATCCCAGCACTCGGGAGGCAGAGGCAGGCGGATCTCTGGGAGTTTGAGACCAGTCTGGTCTACAAGAGCTAGTTCCGGGACAGGCACCAAAGCTACAGAGAAACCCTGTCTCGAAAAATACCAAAAAAAAAAAAAGTAATTGAAAAAATAAAATAAAAATGTAAAGATGTTGTGGGATATTTGTATTCTGTGAAGATGCATTGCTGTGATTGGTGTAATAAAAAGCTGAATGACCAAAAGCTAGGCAGGGAGGATAGGTGGGATTTCTGGGGAGAGAAAGGAAGAGGAGGAGGATGTGGGCAATCAAAATATGCCAGCAAGGCACTAAGGAGACATGGAGGGAGTTGGACATATAGAAGGAAAGAAAGATAAAGAGTTATATAGTAAAATGTAGATTAATAGAAATGGGTTAATTTAAGTTATAAGAGCTAGTTAAAAACAAGCCTAAGGGGGCTGGAGAGATGGCTCAGCGATTAAGAGCATTGCCTGCTCTTCCAAAGGTCCTGAGTTCAATTCCCAGCAACCACATGGTGGCTCACAACCATCTGTATTGAGGTATGGTGCCCTCTTCTGACTAACTGCATACAAAATAAATAAATAAATAAATAAAATAAAAAACAAGCCTAAGCATCAGGGTTGCTAAAACTTCATAGCCCAACCAGGACTGTTACACAGAGAAATTCTGTCTCGAAAAGCAAAACAAAACAAGCTTAAGCTAAGGCTAAGCTTTCATAATTAATAATAAGTGTCTGTGTCATTATTTGGGAGCTGGCTGCAGGACAGATAAAGACTTGTTACATAAAGAAATGAAAGACTGTGTGAAAGAGAAATGAAAACAAATGCTACAATTCAGACTCTTAGGAAACATGAGTAATATAATTAGATATTAGCTAAAGGCGGGAAAATTAGTTCCTGAAAGCCTTTGAAGTGTGATCATTCATTTTCCTCCTAGGTTGGACTTTTCACAGAAATTGGGCCTATGTCTTGCTTCATCTCTAGACATGTAAGTCGGTATACTGGGTGGGGTCCAAGGAGGAGACAGAGTCCCGACTATCATCTTTTGACAAAGCCATCTGAAGTGCTAATCTTCATGTCAATTGCCTTCTAGTCCATCCCATCGGAGATGGAGTTCGACCCGAACTCCAACCCACCTTGTTACAAGACAATGGATGAGGTGAGCAAGGGAAGAGAGTAAGACGGCCTGAGACTGTGGGCGGAGTACGTTTGAGTACATGGTTCTCTCCTTCCACAGGACATTGTGATTCAACAGGATGATGAGATCCGCCTCAAGATTGTGGGGACACGTGTGGACAAGAATGACATTGTGAGTCTCTTGCCTGACTTCTTGCCTTTACGGGGCAGGCCTGGTTAATTTTATTTTTGAGTCAGTGTCTTGATGACATAGCCCAAACTGGCCTGGAACTCATAATCCTCCTGCCTCAGCTTTTCAAGTGGCTGGATTATAAATAAATCAGTACTGTCATTCCCAGCTGGTTGGTTGGTTGGTTGGTTGGTTCCTTCCTTCCTTCCTTCCTTCCTTCCTTCCTTCCTTCCTTCCTTCCTTCCTTCCTTCCTCCCTCCCTCCCTCCCTCCCTCCCTCCCTCCCTCCCTCTCTCTCTCTCTCTCTCTTTCTTTCTTTCTTTTTTTAAATTACTTTTTCTGTGCTATTTTTCCCTGAAAGGGGGATTGATGATAGAAGCCTGGAGTGGGGCGGGTGGGTCGAGGATATCCTTGTGTCTTGGCCTCACCGCCCTTTTTACCATTCTTCCTACAGTTTGCTATTGGCTCTCTGATGGACGATTACTTGGGTGAGTGTCTGACATGGGTTCTGGTTCTATTCTCTGAAGAAGGGGTGTACAGGAGAGGGGGCAACTGTAGGATTTAATGTCTCAGAGACATGTAAGTTCTCATCCTATTCTTTTGGAAGTCTAAGACATATGTCCTTGGGGTGGGAAGTCTATGGTTTTGGCTGCCAGAGAGCTTGGTGTCTAACTTACATGTTTTTCCTGATTTATCATAGGACTCGTGAGCTGAGTAAGGGAGCCTCCAGCCTTGTTTGGTCCTGATTTGGAGAACGTGACTTTCCTGCTTGATATATCGTCTAGAGCTTCAGTCTGGCCACTGTTACGGAGGCAAGGATGATCTCTTGTCCACAGAAGGCTATGGCTACTTCTTCCAGCGGAGCTGTGTTCTCAAGACTTTTTATTCTGTGTTTTAGCCATAAAAGGTCTTTGGTTCTCATGGAAATGTTGTCTTGTCTTGGTCGGAATAAAGAGCTTTAGTATTGTTGTTATTTATTTGCTTTTGAGATGGGTTCTCAAACTTGTGCTAACCTTGAACCACTGTGTATCCTAGGCCGCCTTTGAATTCCAGGTGTAAGGACTACAGGTATACAAGATCATTCCTGGTTTATTTTAAGGGCTGTGAGCTCAAAGACTGCATCTTACATAATATGGTCCCAGTGTTAATTGTGTTGAGGTTCAGAAATTAAAGAGCCGATGCTGCTTGGTGTGGTGAGTCATTTCTTCACTATCAGCTCTAGGGAGGCAGAGACAATCAGGTCTACAAGAGTTCCAGGCTGGCTTGGGCTACACAGTGAGACCTTGTCTCAATAATAACAACAAAACAGGGCTGGAGAGATGGCTCAGTGGTTAAGAGCATTGCCTGCTCTTCCAAAGGTCCTGAGTTCAATTCCCAGCAACCACATGGTGGCTCATAGCCATCTGTAATGAGGTCTGGTGCCCTCTTCTGGCCTGCAGACATACACACAGACAGAATATTGTATGCATAATAAATAAATAAATATTAAAAAAATAACAAAACAATAAAAAAGCAAATTAATAGAGAGCTGAAGCATCCAGAATGATGTCAGAACATGGCAAGAGAAAGGCACCACAATATGGCTCCCTTTTCCCTTTCCCTTGTCTATCACAACTCCTGGACCAAGGTTCTGTAGTTTCTTATCTCCCTTCATGTTCTGTTTTATATCTAAAATGTTCGTAATTGGAACTGGGCGTCAGTCCACTTTATATAGTGAGATTCTGCCTCAAAAGAAAACAAAACAAGGGCTGGAGAGAAGGCTCAGGGATTAAGAGCACTGGCTGCTCTTCCAGAGAACCCAGGTTCAATTCCCCGCACCCATATGACAGCTCGCAACTGTTTATACCTCCTGTTCCAGGGGATCTAACACCCTTAGACGTACATGCAGGCAAAACACCAATGTACATAAAATTAGAGTTAAAAAAAATTATTAGGGGTTGGAGAGATGGCTCAGTAGTTAAGAGCACTGACTGCTCTTCCAGAGGACCTAGGTTCAATTCCCAGCACTCACATGGCAGCTCACAACTGTCTGAAGATCCAGTTCCAGGGGATCTGATACCTTCACACCAATGCATATAAATAAAGTTAAATAAACCATAAAAATATTAAAATATAATTATTAAACCAGGTGGTAACAGCCAGGTGGTGGTGGCGCACGCCTTTAATCCCAGCACTTGGGAGGCAGAGGCAGGCGGATCTCTGAGTTTGAGGCCAGCCTGGTCTACAAGAACTAGTTCCAGGACAGGCTCCAAAATTAGAGAGAAACCCTGTCTTAAACACAACAAAACAAACAAACAAACAAAAAGCAGGTGGTGGTGCACATCTTTTTTTGTTTGTTTGTTTTTTGTTTTTTGTTTGGTTTTTCGAGACAGGATTTCTCTGTGGCTTTGGAGCCTGTCCTGGAACTAGCTCTGTAGACCAGGCTGGTCTCAAACTCCCAGAGATCCGCCTGCCTCTGCCTCCCAAGTGCTGGGATTAAGGGCGTGCGCCACCACCGCCTGGTGGTGCACATCTTTAATCCCAACATTCAGAATGCAGAGACAGGTGGATCTCTGAGTTCAAAGCCAGCCTGATCTACAGAGCAAGTGCCAGGGCAGGCTACACAGAGAAACTGTGACTCAAAAAAACAAAAAACAAACTATATGTGTATGTATATTAATTACTAAGGCAGAATGTTTTTATTTAAAATTTTTATAGAATTGTAGGTTCATAGCCAAGCAGTGGTGGTGCACACCTTTAATCCCAGCACTTGGGAGGCAGAGGCAGGCAGCCAAGGCTACACAGAGACACAAAATTTTAAACTCACATTGCCACCCCTACTTCTCACCCCCGCCCCCATTTGTTGGACAGGGTCTCACTGTGTAGTTCTGATTGCCTGTTTTTGCCTTCTGAACGCTGAGATTAAAGGCATCTCCTACTGTGTCTGACTTTGATCAGTTCTAGGGAAGTCTGAACGTTAGAATGTCAAATTGTTTTGTTGTTTTAAATATTTTATTATCCATTATATTTATGCACGTGTGTATGCAAGAGTGCAGGTGCCTGCAGCAAGGCCCAAGATGTAGGAATCCCTGGAGCTGAAGTTGGAGGTGGGTGTGAGCCACTGACATGCATATTTGGGTGGAGTAGTAAGCGCTTTCTCCTGAGCCATTTCTGCACCCCATGGAAGTTAGCACCTCCCGAACTGGCCCAGGGAGAGTCAAAAAGTGCTTTGTGTATAAATGATACAAATTCCTTATACACATTATTTTACAATTTTATGATAGAGACTTATCTTGCTTTACAAGCTGATGAAACTGATCAGAGAGGTGAACTAATGTGTCTAACGGCACACAGCTAATGATATAATGGAACTATGGATTTTTGGTCTTGAGATAGGATCTCATACTATAACCCAGGCTGTCCTTGAACAGATTCTCTTGCCCATGCTCCAAAGGTTGTAATTCATAAATGCACTAACACGCCTGGCGAGTGTTTAAAATAAAGCAATTTTGGTCTGGAGAGATGGCTCAGAGGTTAAGAGAACTGACCGCTATTCCGGAGGTCCTGAGTTCAATTCCCAGCAACCACATGGTAGCTCACACCCATCTATAATGAGATCTGGTGCCTAGAACACTCATACATAATAAATAAATTTAAAAAAAGCAATTTTTCCCTTTGGTTTTTGGAGAAATGGGTTTCTCTTGTGTGGCCTTGGCTGTTCTGGAACTTACTCTGTAGACCAGGCTGATCTTGAACTCAGAGATCTGCTTGCCTCTGCCTCCCAAATGCTGGGATTAAAGGTGTTTGCTGCTGCTGCCAGCACCACCTGGTTGAAATAAAGCAATTTATTCTTTCCAGGGGCTAGGCATTTGGGGAGTGGGAATGCTTCTATGCTGGGGAGCATGTTGGCAGGCCAATGATATTGACTGAATGAATTCATCAAAGACCATACTAATAGAAATGGAGGATTTCATGAGAGATACCACCAAAGCTGGGGTGGGGGAAATCAAGGATCGCATCTGACACAATGTGTCCCTAATGTTAACTGGGGAGGGAGGGATGAAAATCTCTTTACAGGGTTTAATGGAAATTTCTTAGGTCTGATCAGCTGGGACACCTACCTGTGGGGGCTCTTACTTGGTTAGGTGACATGATATGGTCCTGAGGACTAACTTACAGTGTGGGATGCCTGCAGTTGGGACTGGCCACCCGTCTCAAGGGGAGGAATGTGCTACTAGGGGTCAGACTTGTGAAAGCGTACATCTGTTCATTAAAGGGTGGAATTCTCTGTGATATCAGGATGCCTTGAGATAAAGTGTAGCCAGGGCTACTCTTACCCTGAGCTCAGACCCACGTTAATGCCAAAGTAGCTTTGTTCTGAGGACGGAATGGCTCAGCAGTGATCCATCCCAGATGGCATCCACAGTAGCCTCCTCTTTTTCTCTGGTGATGTGGATCGCATTGCTGCCTCCCTGAGCTCTTGCTTCTACTCCAGTTGGGAGCAAATAAACTCTAGGCAGATTATTGTTGTAATATGAGCGGCGGGCTATGTTCCTGGCACCCGGCTGCCTGCACGGCTAGCTTTATACCCGAAATAATTACACGGAAACTGTATTCTTTTGAACACTGCCTGGCCCATTAGTTCCAGCCTCTTATTGGCTAGCTCTTACATATTGATCTAACCCATTTCTAATAATCTGTATAGCCCACGAGGTGGCTTACCAGGGAAGATTTTAACCTGCGGCTGTGTTGGGTGGGAGAATCACTAACTTGGCGACTGACTAACTTGGCTTATTTCTCCCAGCATTCTGTTCTGTTTATTCTGCCTACCTAATTTTCTGTCCTATCAGGCCAAGCAGTTTTCTTTATTAGTTAACCAATGAAAGCAAGAGATAAGATACAAGACCCACCTCCATCAGATTATATACAGCTTCACTAGATATGATGTTGCCCTAACAGGCCTGGGCCTTCCTCCGCCCTCTCCTGCCTTCAAGCTGTCAGTAGTGGTTTAGACTTACAAATGTGAGCAGTACCAGCCAGCAGCCCAGCCCAATGCTAATGAGCTAATAAACTAAGGCCTTCATAGATGGACAGACATTTCGGTCTTCAAGCCTGGAAACCACACTGCAAGTCAATGTAACTGGGAGAGACTCAGCAGGGTCAGTAGCCTAAGGTGGAGTTGCCATGGCAACCCCAGTTCCATCCATCTGGCTTTCACAGCTTAGTTCCAGAGGATTTTCTTTCCCAAGCAGCAGTATTGAGCCCTGAAAGGAAGAGGGGTGAGTGTGCCTGTCCAGGTTCTCATGCAGGAATTTCTTCTGGAATTAAAAAATGAGGGATGGAGAGATGGCTCCATGCTTAAGAGCTCTTGCTGCTCCTGCACAGGACCTGAGTTCAATCACCAGCACCATGTTGCCTGCTCACGACACCTGTTACCATCTCCCGGAGATCTGACTCCTCTAGCTTCCTGGAGCACAGTCTTCACTCATGTGCACACATACATACACAAATAAAAACAGTGGGAAGTAAATCTTGGGGCTGGAGAGATGGCTCATCAGTTGAGAGTGCTTGGTCTTCCCGCTGTGTCCGTTCTCAGCACTCACATGTTGACACATAGCTCCAGTCCCAGGGATCTGATGCCCTCTTCTGACTTCCTCAAGCACCAGGTACACACATGATGCACAGACATACATGCAAACAAAACACTCATAAAAAAATCTTAAATTTTAAAAAATATTCTTTAATAAAGTGCTGAGGATGTAACTTAGTGGTAGAACATTTTTGTCTAGCAGATGCAAACTTGGAGGTTTGATCACCTGAACTGCATTAAATAAATAAAATTTATTTTCCTTATTTTTTTTTTTTTCGAGACAAGGTTTCTCTGTAGCTTTGGAGTCTGTCCTGGAACTAGCTCTTGTAGACCAGGCTGGCCTCGAACTCAAGATCCGCCTGGCTCTGTTTCCCGAGTGCTGGGATTATTTTACTTTCTTGGGG